CTGGAATTATATCCATCGTTAACGCAACAGTTATGATGTCCCCTCAGATATTCAAGTTAAGAGGATCACTCATACTGGGAAATACAAACTTGGAACTAGAGCTAAAAAATACTTCCACTGGTCAGCTATTATCTCTGGTTAAGCCCGTGAACACTTCTGAACTACAGAGGCTCCTCCAAGATGCCTTTAAAAAGATGATTCCGGGGCTAAAAAATGTTCCAGACGCTGGTCTTCTAGGGCTAGACATCACCGAAGACTCGCTGGTACAGTTATCAGAGGTTCAGTTCTCGAACAATTTTGATTCTGTGAACTCTTTCAGTATTGATATAAGGATATCAAAAGCTTGGTCATTTTTCAGATCTTGTTGTTCACTGATAGCCCCCACCATGATACTTCGTGTTAAGGATCTCAGAGACATACCGACCTATATGCTCTACATATCTACCGGATTTGAGCTTGTCAACAACATGAAGCGACTTGTATTACCACTAGAATGCAACATTCCGGCGTCAAAGCGTTCGTTGATAACACTTAAACTTACACGTGCTGTGATTTTTGAGCTATCAGAAATTACCATCTTACCTTTGGTTGGAAATGCGATCCCAAAAGGCCTACTTTCACCAATTTCAGAAGTCATCGGCAACATATCCCTCTGGCCTTTCGAAGCGAGATTTGAATCCGATACAGGACGCCTGGTTATGTTTAACCTAACCGCAACCGCCCTTGAACGGTGGAACCTGATTGGATTTCCGTTGGCCCTTCAGAATATAACCCTACATGTTAAAATGAAAAATATTCTTCGTGCAGCTTTGAAAGGGCTGTTTATTATGAAAAAATATCCCATCCCTTTTCAATTACCATTTGGCTCAACCCCATCAAATTTAACTGAGCTTATAATGGACTTCGACGGATCGCCTGAAATAACAATCAAAGAAATTGGCCAACAGCTTATTGGAGGATTTGTTCTAGAAAGTCTTTTTCCGGCGGTGTTTGACAAAGTGAAGATTACAGTGAGATATTTAAACTTAGGATTGCTTTCTCCCTTGAGGAAACTGAACATACAAAGTTTTAGGCTGGATTTTACACTCAACGATCCAGTGATACTGATCAACAACTGGCTGAGGATAGAAAGAGTAAAAGCCGAACTAAGAGTGCAGAAAGTTCCCAAATTAAGTGTCGATGGACGTTTGGCATGCCTCGTCACACTTGGAGTAGGCGCCAATGTCATCCAGGCCCAAGGTGTCATAGTAATGCCACAGTACTCAACTCGGGCTTGGAAATTGACTCTTCAACCAAAAAAGACCGATCCGTTATCAGCAGGTTCCATTGTTTCATTGGTAGGTGGTGGATTTGATTTAAAGTCGCTTCTTCCGGACCAGATTCTATCAAATGCCAACGAGTTTGTGTTGGAAAAATTTGAAGCAACCTTCATTCCAAACGCTCAATTCAAACTATCCAATATAACATGCACAGTAGAAGCTAACCTCACAGATGTCTGGCTTCCTTTGAGAATACGCATTAAACATATTAAAATTCAGCTATTTGTTGCACATCCCTTTGACGCAGTAAAGCAAAAAGTCAAAGCTACTATCTTCGTAGAAATCCAGCTTGGAAGAGCCATTATTCCAACAGCTTTGTCACTTGACAATGATCACATTCTTCTAGAAATAGAGGAACTGGAAAATCAGCCATTGGTTTTGCGCGACATTGCTGATCTTATTGGTGGCGACGAACTTTTAAAGATTGTACCAGCTGCCCTCTTGAATTTCAATACAGTGACCTTGAATAGATTGGGGATAACGTTTAGCAAACGAAACTTTCAAATTCTAAACGCAAGCATTGGATGCCATCTTCACGGTTTCGACGCTGGTTTTCGTTTTCCACTTCCACTGCCTGATCCAACAAACATTTTTAAAGTGAGACTTGCCGTTCAACATCTGGATCTCGAATTGAGGCGAAATAAGGAGTGGGAACTAACCGCAAGTATCAAAGCATCTGTTAAGGGTGTGCCGCTGGAGAAGCATCTAAGCGACCTTGAAGGGATACTAACTGTAAAATCAAGTTCGGCTACATTCAGTATAAAAAAGACGCTACGCGACGTTACGATTGAGAAGGAACTTGCCGGGATTAGTTGTAAATTAGATATCAAATTCTTCAATCCAAAAATCGTATTTGTCTCACCTCAAAAACCCCAGATTCAATTAGCTATCGTTGTCAATGGGTTCGATGTCCTCAACAAACATTTGCCTTTCAAAGTATTCAAAGACTCGTTAACTTTGGACATCTCGGTGACAGAAGAGACAGGTTTGGCAATCAGGCTCAAAGAAATTCCAATTTTGGACGAAGTAATACCTTGCAGTAAAAGCAAAGATTGGTACACCTGTGATTTTACCTGGCTTTGTCAGAAGGATTCCTACGTGAGACTTCAACTTCCATCCTTTGCTTACACAAAGGATGGATTTTCATCTGCCGTTAATGTTCAGGACTTGGAAAAACTTTGCATTCCACTGACGCCGCCTTTTTTGAGGCAATTTTTTCAGAAGATTCCGTTCTTCTTTGACTTTTTTAACCTTAACTTACCATTGTGGCCTCCACCAGATATAATAGGCTTCTTGCAAAAGATTGGCTCTAACGTCGACAATTTACCAAGGGGCATTGAACGCTTCAAAAGTCCAGAATTTCCGAAGGAGATCCATGCTACCATATCCATCAGTGAGAGCGGCCCTTTAACCTTCGCTATTGAAGTTCAGAACGACGAATCGGTCGACGTTCTGACGCCCCTTACTCTTTCTGGTAATTTAGCAGGAATTTCGTTAAAAAAATTTTCAATTGGCTCGGTTTTTGGTGTGCCTTTCGTGGATGTGAATGTCGAAGTTTACCTCTGGGATCTCAAGTTTTTATTTCTTCTCTCTCACCTTCCGAAAGACAATCCTTTATTTATTAGTGCAGAGGAAATGGAATCGCGAATTCTCTGCCGAGACTGCTTTTTCGTCATTGTTGGAGTCTATCCAGTTCCCATTTTTGCCGCCCCCCTTTCCATCAAGTATGCCACTCTCATTGGCGCTAAAGCTCAAGCGACGATATATCATAGAAGACCAGACTACCGTGACTTTGGAACGCTTTCGTCTTTCTTTATTGGGATTTTAAAGTTTTACACAGACGTTGATTACTTGCTATCGAAAGAGGATTTACAAACGGCTAACAGTACTTTACTCGTTTTGAAGTTTTCACATGATAATGAGTTGACTATGATCCAGCTTCCGACATTTACAGGTGGTAGTAGACTCACTTTACGAGTTCCACCGATAGATGGCAAGATGTTTCTTATTGGATGGATGAACTTTTTCAAGACATTTGAACCTAAATGGCTTCTACAAACTGTTCCACTCCGTTACCGTGTTATTGATATAGCTTTTAATATTGGTCCCTTCAGGTGGTCGGTACTTAAATTTGCGGCGTCGTCAGCCAATGAACTAAAGGAAAACGAAGATATATGGCCTTATCCAGTTCACGCAAGTGGAGATGATGCCTTATTGATAGCCTCAGCCGACCTGCTTCTTCTTTCTACAGATGTTGAACTTCGTATAAAGAATTTCGGAAATGCTGGTCTCTCTTTTAGAGTTGCTGCGGGTATAGCCAACCTGATAAAACTAGATCTCGATGCCGAGGCCCGCGTTAACCTGGGAGATTCTGCAAATCCGGTGACATTTTTATCAAAAGCCGTCGTGAAACTGAATTCCTTACTGCTTTTGACTGGTGAGGCAAAAGTTTCAAAAGATTCCATAACCATATTAGGTGAACTACGATTCAGTTTACTTGGAGTAATTCGTTTTCATGGAAAAGTCACCGCAAGGTTTCTTTCAGGTCTTTCGTTTGTTATTGATGCAAATGCAGATATCTACCTTTTCGGTGTGCGACTGTCCAAGTCTCATCTATACGTAATGAGTTCATTCTCCACATCGGTTGTAAGGGCCAGGGCTGTTTTTATGGGAGCTGACATGATTATTGATCTGATAAGGAAAGGATTGTCTTTTAATGTTCAGGCAGCTGCAAAAATTCGAATCTTCCTCGAGGTCGACCTTGGTGAAATAAATGTGGCCGGAGTAGACATTGGAAGAATTGTCCTAAGTACTGGCTTTAATGGGGAATTGAAGATATCATTCCCAGGGAGGAGCTCAGCAAAAGTTAGTTTCCATTTCATGGGAATAAGAATAGAGCTACCATTATTAACATTCGACACAAGGGACGCAAGGCCAGAGAAAATTCCTCACCTTTTTGAAAAGCTCATCAAGAAAGAAGCTCTTAGCTTGATTAAAAATCTCCTCGTTAGTAGTCCCACTGAGCTACTGCGGGCATTTGTAGAAGGTGTTCTGGATTTTGCTGGAAATATGGGTCGGCTTTTTGAAGACTTGCTGGAGGTTGGGCTCAAATTCCCCGCAAGAGAACTTGGAAAATTTCTTAACGACCTTGTCGACGCTGAAAAGGCCGTGGCTGAGGCTGCAAGAAATTTAAATAAAGCTGCTGTACTGGCAGCAAGAGGCTTAAGAGAGGCAGCATCAAAAGCCGTAGAAGTAGCCGAGAAAACCGTCCAGAAGGTAGGAAAGATTGCAGAACAAGCAGGGAGACGACTTGCTGAAACAAATAAAGCGTTGACGGAAGCTATAAAGAAGACTATTCGCATCGACAATGCTGTTAAGGAGGCAAAAAGAGTTCTAACAAACATTTCAAAGACATTAAAAGATGTAGTCAACCGAATAGGTGATTTAGCTCACAAAATAGCGGATGAGATAGCTCGTGGAATTCGTGACATTGGTGGAAAGATTATAAAAACGTTTGGTGGGTGGATTGGAAAACGTGCAATCTATCGACGCGATGCACTTACTGACGAAAAAAGGAGAAGAGAGGGTGAAAAAAATGAATTACAAAGAGATCAAAGCGACCAAAGGACTCGAGTGAGGAGTAAAGAACGAGAGCTGGAAGGTGCTCGAAAAGAAAAACAACTTAAAACAGTGCTGCGAGATGAAGCACAAAGGGATGCAAAACGTTCTTCTGAAAATCTACAAACGGCTTTAAAAAAGACATGGCAGACAAAAAGACGTCTTACGACGAAATTATCAACAAAGGTAAATGTAAAACAGGAGAAAATAACTGTCACCCACATGCCACATGCCTTCGTAATGGAGCTGAAGGCCAATCATTTAGATGTGAGTGTAGACGTGGATGGATCGGAAATGGTACCTATTGTGAAAGACCAATTAAAGCTGTAGCAATAATATCAGATAGCCCTAAACCAATCGGTGAGGAAGTTTCCTTCTCGGCGTTTACAGTATCGGGAACAAATGTTGAGTACAAGTACAGTTTTAACACTGCTTTTAGCCGGTACGGTGTCTCATCACACGTTTTCACCTCTCCAGGAGTCTATGCTGTGGACGTCTGGGCGCAAAATGATGTCAGCAATTCCTCAGAGAGCGCAATTGTTGTTATCCAGGCTCCAGTCACGGATATCAGCCTTCGCATATTGGGAGATTTCAAGCCTTGCCGTGCTGTACACTTTATTCCAGCAGCTACTGGAACAAACGTCTCCTTTGATATTGACTTTGGAGATGAGAGCTTAAAGCGCAATATTACTGGATCCGTATCACATTATTTTTCACGATCAGGAGAATTCGTTATAAATGTAACTGCTAGCAATCTTGTTAGTTCTATCACTAAAAGATTCCTGGTGAACATCTCATCCTCTCCTTGTGATCAGCTTTTCTGTGATATTTGGAAGGTAGAGACAATGTTTCCATTTGAAACTCCAGAAAAAATAGCCTCACTAGTGTGGTCATTTTTGCACTCTTTAAAGGCAGGTCCACGAGAGAAACGCTATGCCAGGATTTGGAAATTTTTGTCTTTCTTCCACCCTATTCCTTACAAAACTTTAAAAACGTTAACGACAGGAAATTTTTCAAGAACTTTGACAGGATATTACAGTTTTAATGGATCCTTTATTGAGTTAGACTTTATCATGGCTGGATTTCTTTCGTCCAAGGTTGCACATCTATCTGGAGTCGAAAGCAGCTTTTTACACCCACACATCAGAGATCCCATCGAATTGTTTACTTGGATCTCCTCCGTACTATTAAGCACAGAAGAGTTTTTAAACACGTGGAGTTTCTCGCAAACGAGACAAGAATATTGCCAAAATCGACTTTCCATGTCAACGATCAATAGTGCTCTTGATGGCTATATTTTCGGTGCACAAATGGCTGATTTTCCTAAGAATGGAAAGCTTTCAAACTTTCTATTTGATTATTATTGCCCCTCAAGTTCCGATGTTACATTCAGCTGGGAAACGAGGTATAGAAGATTTCTAAACCTTTCGAAAACGCCAGACGATAATAAGATCTGGGATCCAGTGATACTCCCTTCTAAATTGTCAAAGGCAACTTCCAGCTTGAAAGGTTTTGTGTCTCCGATAAAAGAGTTTTGTTTGAGCACTTTTCTGGACTTAGTGAGGTTAGGAGCAAATATAACAAATCTTGAAAGCGAGGGAAATGAAGAAAGCATCTGCGAAACTTATATCACTTGCCAACAATGCATTTTTAGTGGAGCGAGTAGCAGCTGTTTTTGGTGCGAGAGCTCGAATGAATGCCTTTCGAAAAAGTCAAAAAACCAATGTAGCAAAAATCACACATTTTTTAAACTTCCATGTAGTGAAACGTGCCAGCTTAGTCAAAGATGTTCAGACTGTACTGTGCGAAAAGGGTGCGGTTGGTGTCAGTCTCTGTTGTCCGATGAGGGACCAGCCTGTCATGAAGGTGGTCCACAAGGACCACGATCGCCAGCTTTGTGCAACTCGGTGGAGTGGTACCAGGGAACTTGCACCTCTACTTGTCCTGTAAGCCATGGACATCTTTGTAACGGTAAAGGAATCTGTAGAGGTGGTAAATGTTACTGCATTCCAGGTGTCTATGGAGATGATTGTTCCAAAGATGGCTGTGTCTACACGGCGCAAGAAAACGATACATTTCAGTTCATATCTCGCAGGTTTAAGCTAAATGGAACTGACATTCAAATGGCAAACAGAGCAGACAAAGGAGATTCCACCTTGGCCTTCAATTTTCATGTAACCATACCGAATATAGGGACACCACAAGACTGTCAAAATCGTGCTACAAGTTCGAGTTTTCATCCTCTGTTCCCAAGAATGCTACGCATCGGTGTGAATAGGGCCGGACTACATAGCTTTTGTGGACTTTTTGGATCTTTAGCATCTGAGCGGAAGGGAATTCCCACTTGTGATATGATTTTGAGTAGAGAACAATGTCTACGAACTGAAAGATGTGCTTGGAATGTCAAGGAGCCATGTACTGGTATGTTGTTGAAAGGCTGCTTTGAGATAACGAAGTCGCTTGACGTACTTGTACATCAGTCATCAGTTATCTCTTCACCAATTTCTGGTAACGTAAACATTACAGAGGACAGTCTGCAGATTACTGGCTGGCCTAAAAGTGAATGGGAAGGTTTTTCTGTAACAGTGTCCCACTTAAAACCCTTTAATATCACCAGTGTACATGGTGGACAGATTATTGGGACAACGCTCTCGAGAAATGATTCTTTATTACCTGATTTCGTTAGAGTCAAGGTTGTGCACGATGGTGCCTTAAAAGATCCTTTGCCTTACTTACTTCCTTGCAGCCCCGGCTGTTCTCAAGTAATACATTTCTACAATGGAATCTGTGACCAAGATTGTAACACAACAGAATGCAGTTACGACAATGGTGAGTGCATAACAACGCATTTCAATTTATCTGGCTTCTCAGTACACTCTGGAGGTATAAATGACATATTTGCTGACACTTCAGTTAGGTTGCTACACCGCCTAAAGAAAATAACTGGAGAGAAGGATATCCTTATTGCACGTGGACCACTAAGCGTCTTTTCCTTAGCAAAAGAGGTTGTACTCGAAATACGTAACTGTGATGATCTGCATTCCTTACTTATTTTTCAAAGCTACAGGCGCCCAGTTGTAAAATTTGTGGAAAATGTGATATCTCAGAACGCATCATTGGAAAAAATCACATTGTTAACCGCCGAAAAACTCATCGAGCTTGGAATTGATCAAGTATCACCATATGGTAGAAATGGCGGCGACTACGATATTGCTGAGATTACAACGTCATCACTTCGAAATCAAACAAGATTCAAAGTGGGATTAGCAATACTTTCCGAAGCTAGATTGTTGGATTTCGCCCTTGTTGAAAACGAAAGCTCCAACGGGGAGACATATTTTCATATCAAGATTTACCGTCAAAAGTCTGTCTTACGCAAGTTAAACGACTACGACCCATCTTTGTATTTATCTACTGAGTGCAGCTCGTTGTCTTGGTGCTCTGGTCATGGTATTTGCATGGTAAACGGGAGTTGTCAATGTGATTTTTACTATACAGGAAAAAAGTGTCAGATAAACAACTGTCCAAGTCAATGCTCTGGTCACGGTACTTGTATCGATGGTGTATGTGTATGTAACTTTGGATGGGAAGGATATGATTGCTCTAAAGTTAAATTATGCACTCTGCTTTGTCCAGAACATTGGATTGGCGATGGCGTTTGCGATCCGAGCTGCAATACACCTATGTGTTTACACGATAAAGGAGACTGTCAGGATATCTGTGTTTGTCCAGATACATGGCTTGGAGATGGATTGTGCGACCACACCTGCAACTCCACAAGCTGTGACTACGATGGTGGTGACTGTGCGAAAAAGGAGTGCAGTCCTGGTTGCGCTTCAGAAATCTTAGGAGATGGCATTTGTGACCATCAGTGCAACACACAGCAATGCAGTCTAGATGACGGCGACTGCCTCTTCGCCGCAACCTGTTCTTGCAGCCAGGACATTCAGGGAGATGGTGTTTGTGATGATGAGTGTAATAAAGCGTCTTGTATGTACGATTACGGAGATTGCACTTCGCAGGTTCTAAGCGATGACTGCCCTCAGTCGTGTTCTCCTCCTATGATCGGAAATGGATTTTGTGACGTTTTTTGCAATGTGTCGTCTTGTAAAATGGATGGAGGAGACTGTAATCCAACAGCTACTGCAATGCGTCTTTGCTATGAGGGCTGTCTTCCTCGTTTTCTAGGTGATGAGGCATGTGATTCTGCTTGCAATGTGCAGGCATGCAACTTTGATAATGGTGACTGTCCGACACCCATCGTTCAAGAGTGTGCTGCTGAATGCCAGGTGGACATGGTAGGAGATGGTATCTGTCAATCAGAATGCCAAGTAGAAGAATGTTCTTTTGATGCCAGTGATTGTCAGTGTTCTCAAGGATGCTCAAACACATCAATAGGAGACGGAGTGTGTGACATGGCATGCTTTGTAGAATCTTGCGACTACGATAAAATGGACTGCATGTGCTCTTCAAGTATATGTCCGAAGGAATACCTTAGTAATGGTCAATGTGATAAAGAATGCAATAATAGAATATGTGACTTTGATGGTGGAGATTGCACTTGTGCGGAAGGTTGCGCTCTAACCTCGATCAATGATGGTTCTTGTGATCCAGCTTGTGATACAAAAGCCTGTAATTTTGACGGCTTGGACTGTGGGGGCTGTGAGTCAGAGTCCCACCTCGACATCTGCGACGAAAATGCTGATTGTATGACTTCAAATGATTCTTTGCCATACGTAAAATGCCGTTGCAGAAATAGCTTTTATGGAGATGGCTTTTCTTGTGTGAAAAGAGGAAATTGCTTTAATGATAGCAACATTTGCTCCGAAAATGGCCAATGTATCGAAGGTAACGGAACATTCGAGTGTTACTGCAACGAAGGTTGGGTTGGAAATGGCATTTTCTGCGAAAATGTGGATGAATGCAAAAATAATTACGACAACTGTGGCGTTAATGCAAACTGTTTAGATGTACCTGGGAGTTACAAATGCGTTTGCGAGGAAGGATGGACTGGCGATGGCTACAACTGCACGGATGTCAATGAATGCGAGTCCAATAGACACTTGTGCTGTGGAAATGAGAACTGTTTCAATACCGAGGGGAATTATACCTGCTCGTGCAAACATGGATGGCGAAAAAATGACACCTACAGATCAGCAGCACATGGACAATGTTACCTCGATATGAATCCTGTTTGTGTTGACATAGATGAATGCTTTGAGGACAGACACAATTGCTCTACATATGAAAACCAAGCTAATGCAATCTGCACCAATGCTATTGGCGGTTTTAAATGCTCTTGTGAAGAAGGATGGGAAGGTGATGGTTATTTTTGCTTTGACGTCAACGAATGTTTAAACGAATCTGTTTGTCCTACCAACCAGAAATGTCATAATTTGCCTGGTAATCATTCTTGCCATTGCAAAGATGGCTTTACATTGGAGACCTCTACGAAAGAATGCCAGGATTTAGACGAGTGTGCTCTTGGTTTGGCTGCCTGTGACCCATTTGCGTTTTGTACGAACTCATATGGAAGTTTCAAATGTGAATGCATGGAAGGATTTGAGGATAAAAAAAGGGTATGCACGGAATACCAATGTGGAAATCAGACAAACAACGAGACTCATTCGGTTGGGATAAACGTTACCTATACTACTCAAGACGTCTGTACTTGCATTGGAGAATTTTTAAACACTGGGAAATCTTGCATGGATATCGATGAATGTTCGTTAAAAAAATTTGACTGTCCTGCTTCTGCCCCGCTGTGTCAGAATTTGCTTGGTGGATATGAATGCAAATGTGATGCCGTGGACAACTCATCGTGTGATCCTGTAAACCCATGCAATTCCAATAAAAGCAGATGTGGTCAAAACATGACTTGTATAGCAGTGGGTGTGGAACACTACTGTGTATGCCCCGATGGATTTACTCAAGATGAAAATGGAACTACGTGTGTTGACATTGATGAGTGTCTCAATCCACAGTTCTATGGCTCCTGCGAGGAAAACGCTGATTGCGTTAACCGCAAGGGAAGCTTTGAATGTAGATGTCGTTCGGGATACTTTCAGAGCGGAGATGCTTGTTTCGAAATTAATGAATGTGAAGGAACCATTACTAAAACGATTGCAGGTGGCCTGGAGGAGTGCAAAGCCGGTGTCTGTTCCTCCACGGAAGCTTGTATTTTCCGTAACAATTCCAGAGATTCAGTCCGTGACTCCAACACTACCTTGGTTTGTGCCTGTGATCACAGCGACAGCCAACAAATAGAATGCATCGAAGCCACTGTGCAGGTAATTCAGTCTGGGGAGAGTATTTCCAGTCTTATTTCGATTCCTTGGTACGCAACAGGTGCTTCAAGTGCAAATATCAGCATTACCAACCAAACCTTTCATAACTGTTCGAAAGAAATGATTTGCAAGAACACGGCAGGATCATATGAGTGCACATGTCAAGAGGGATACCACATCGATAGAAGTAAATGGGCCTGTCAAGATACCGACGAATGCTTCACAAATAATACTTGCCATTCAAATGCTTCTTGTCTTAACACTGTCGGGTCATTTTACTGCAAGTGCAATTCTGGATTTGCTGGGGATGGACTCACCAACTGCTCTGATATAAATGAATGTTCTTTGAAAATTGGAAACTGTACTCTAAAGTCCGTATGTATCAATACCGTTGGTGGCTACTTTTGTGCATGTGAAAATGGTTTTCAACGGAACGGAACCTTGTGTCAAGATGTAGATGAATGTTCAAGCATAGACTTCAATAATTGTCACCCAAGAGCGTCCTGTGGCAACTACATCGGTGGTTATAAATGTAGTTGTATGTCGGGTTACACGGGAGATGGCTACAGCTGCTCAGACATTGATGAATGCAAAAGCGACTCTCCTTTCTGTGGAGTTCATGCCTCTTGTTATAACACCCCTGGTTCTTACGAATGCAAGTGTAACCCAGGATGGACAGGCAGCGGTACAAACTGCACAAACATCGACGAATGTTCTCATGGGTCACACACTTGTATTGAGAACTCATATTGCACAGATAATCAAGGCAGTTACACATGTACATGTATGTATGGGTGGAAACGTCAGTGGTTTGAACCATACGGGAGATGTTCCAAGTGCGATCCAAACGCCCTCTGCTCAAGTCATGGAAAGTGCTTACGAAATGGTACTTGTGATTGCCTTAGGCATTATCGAGGAGCTAACTGCTCAGTATGCATGTCAGAAGTCAGATGCTCAGGCCATGGGCACTGTGACTTTGACGGGAAGTGCTATTGTGACCATGGCTGGACAAGGCAACCACTCGACTGCAGCATTTGTTCACCAGAGACTCTCTGCAGTGGTCACGGGACGAGTAACTACGACTACGAAACCTACAAAAACAAGTCTTGTTTTTGCAATGACAATTTCTTTGGACAAAATTGCAGCAAAGGTGAGAAAATTTGTTTATTAAAAATGGAAGACGAGGGAAGCCTTATTACTTACTTTATACTTAGAGCTTACGGTTTTTTCTTACGATCAAAATGCAGCATGCCCCATTGTGGAAGGTGAAGTCTGTGGACTACATGGCTTTTGCAATCGTGATCCTTCTTCTCTCCTTCCGTGTGTTTGCCTCTCGGGATATCAGTGGAATAGCACTTCTGTTATATGCGAGGACACTGATGAATGCCTTCTTGGCTCTCATGAATGTCTTCCGCCCGCGCAATGTATCAACACACCAGGGTCCTATCGCTGTGAATGCCCCACTCTTGTGGGTTGGTCCTTCGATGGCAAAACCTGCAACGACACTGATGAGTGCCAATACCCAAATGTCTGTGATTCTCAGGCCACCTGCATTAACTTCCCGGGGGGATTTAACTGCAGTTGCAACACTGGATGGCGTGGAAAAGGGGCACATCCCATCTGTTTTGATATAGACGAATGTGCTGAAGGAACAGATAGGTATCATCCAATATTTCTTTAATTTACCGGACGTAACTTTTTTTAAGATTTTATCTAGGTGCGTGAGTTTCCTCGCATGAAAAAAGGAGTAGTATTGGGCATTAGAAAGAGAAGTAAATATCCGAATACTCGGAAGAAATTAATCCTAATGCTTTCCCAAATTCTTTGTCTACCCGTGGGAATTACATGAGATGGGGAAGACGAGGGGCACATCCTATATGTCCTGATATGTGGACGTATGCACAAAAGGAACAGATGTAATCAATAAAAATAGGTGATCTCTCGATTTGGCTTTAAGTAGTTTGGCTTCTATTCGGGTGTCCGATTTAATTTTTATTTTTTAAGCAAGTAATCGAAAACATAAAGCTGATGAAAAACATCTAGAAAAACTGACGGAGTTCGTTCTTTAAATTATCCGACATCCTCTGCATTTGTGGATACCTCGAATGGAGAGAGATATGTACAGTTACTACAGAGAGCTTTCCTATTATCTATTGTCATTCAAGTCCTAGAATGAATAACGTTAAATCCCATAAACTTGGTTTTGCATAAGCCGTGAAGTGCACTGTCTCGACATAATTGCTCTATTTTTTTCCCTTTAACGCGTATTCTTCACAGATGTCCTGGTCCATCCAAATGTGTCAACACCCTTGGAAGTTATTACTGTATCTGTGATCCAGGCTGGGAGAAAGTTTCGGAGTTTGCGTGTAAAGATATCGACGAGTGTAGTCTCGGAGTTGATGGATGTGATCCCAACTCTGCTTGTATTAATACAGCAGGAAGCTGGCAATGCACATGTAATAGCGGGTATTACCCAGATCCATCAGATGCGCGCTTGCCTATATGCAAAGACATCAATGAATGCGTCCAGAATGCAAATGCATGCCCAGCAGAGTCACTATGTGTCAATTACGCAGGTTCATACCGATGTAACTGCCTGTCCGGATGGAGAAACCAAGGTCCTCATAAATGCGTTGATATTAACGAGTGTTCTGAAGGATCTCACAGCTGTCCATTAAACTCGAGATGTGTTAACATTCAAGGGTCGCACCAATGTCATTGCAATTCTGGCTTCACCCCTCCCATTACAACAACGACGTGTCAGGATTTAGACGAGTGCACAACAGGACGCCATTCATGTTCCTCGTTTGGCAACGCCTACTGTGTGAATACCATTGGCTCTTATACTTGCCGGTGTTACAATTGCTATTACATGTCTGGCAGTAGCTGTAAATGTAAGTATTAAATTATTTTTGGCAGTGTTGCATTGATATTTACAACATGAGTAGTCGATGCAACAGGGTGTTGACCTGGTCCTGGTGTGAGTTGTGATGCACGAAAAGAGAATGCGTTATGAAACAATCTTCTATTGATAATTCTCCTTCTTGTAGCTGACTGCCGTCTTGAAACTCAGTACTACTACACAACCGTCTATACCTCTTATAGAAGTTACTATACCACAAGTTGCGGTTTTCTTGGTTTAAGAAGGTGCAGAAGGTCAAGGTATGAAAATTTACCTAACTCTCATCGCCGCTTAAACGCTTATTTTTTCCACTCTAATTAGCGCTCGGATATCTATGGCTATTCTTAGTTTCACTTGTATGGGTTTAACCAGTTGCTTACAATTTTCTCCAATTCCTTTTTACGTAAGGAGGGGGGTTGTTCAGAGGGAACTTTTACTGAGGCTAATCCCTACATAACGAACCCTAAATAGCTGATTTTCAACGTTTGGCAGTTTTGTGGTTTCTAAGAAGCCTACTCTAATTATACTTTTTCTAATCGGCCCATCATAGATTTGAACTTAGCGACTATTTTTTTGCCAACGCCACCATTGAATGTGAAAAACGCTCTTGATATACAGGATGTAGGAAATAGGATCAAAATTTAGAAACAAGCAGCACTCCCTTATGGATTTACACGTGGTTGAAATTCTCCTCCATTCAGGCGCTCCTTATTCGGTAGCTATCAAAAATATTAAATGACCCACCCTCCGGGCCTAATATACATTGATAAGTAACGCCAATTTTGTTACTCAAGACATTGCTCTATTGTTTTCATTATCCTAGGACAAGATATAAGACCAGAGCTGCATTACAAAGTCATGATGTTTGGGTTGCAAACCGTGCGGGAGCGGTCTGTCCTTGCCGCTAATTAAGAACTTACCATCGTCGTTGATTAAAGCAATTGCTGTGTAGTTGAAATTAAGAATTGTAGTTTTTCAGAGAAAGATATTTTGGGATTTTTCGATATATTTAGAATTCGATTTTTCTTTAGTCTTCATTAATCTTTTGTACTTTCTGGTAGCGCAAGGTTCACAACTGCGAGTATGGATGTTTTCTTAAACTGGGAGTTATCGGCTTTAAAGTAGTGGTTAGCTCTTAAGGTTGTTTTTATTCGGTCATTTGTGGCTCATCTCGTATATTACACAGGTATGACGTCAGATATCAAGGTTAAGGAAACACAACCATATTATAAAATAAGCGTTAAGCCTTTTTTGGTAATAATAGTGGACGTAGGAGTGAAAGTCGGAGTTAAAGATTGAGTTGTAGTTGGAGTTAGCAGACGTTGTAACAGCAAGGAAGTCGAACAATAAAGAAGCATGAAGCTGTAAGTGATCCAAGGTTCGGGTACCTTTCCCTCAGTTTGCCTAAGCTATCTTCCCCTTAATGTCCTGAGTCAATGTCCATATTAAATCGCGCATTCCACTTTCCGCATTTCGAGTGAGCTCTGTCTTTAATACAAATCTCTATGAGTACACGATCTAAGAAAGTTTTAGGGACAGTACATGCATCTGCTGCTATATACTTTACAGTTCCTGGACGAACCACATGAAAAAACTATTGATGTTAAAGATGAAATTTGTCGCAAAGGGAATTTTTTTATAATGACATGAACTAAATTTTGTTAACTTCTTTTAAACCATTATTAAAAATGAAGTGTATCACACGAATATGATTATTCCTTGGATAATCGTCAATTATCTGAAAAAAATGAAAAGCTCTTTAACATGTGGTGGGTCTAAGCGATTGTTGTTTGGGGGTTGTATGCATGGAAAAATTCACGCAAAACACGCCCTACTGATAACTAAACGGACCATTCTTACAAATCACTATGGATAACGACTTGTATTTTTTTTGAAGAATACATTTCAAAGACTGGCTGAAGAAAAACGTTATCAAATCGTTTTCCGTTGGAACGAGTTTCGGAGGTAGAAAATCAAGTAGGTCAGGAAATGTAGACTGATAACAATGCCTTTGAGAGCGAGTCCACGAGAAAAACCGGGCAGGGGGCGTTAATGCTAAAATCACCAATTTGGCTCAAACTTGGCGCAAATGCTAAGCATCAAGAGTTAACAAATGTGAAAATAGTATTTCAAAGTATTTTATTCCCTGGGAGATATGGGGTCTCCCTGGGAAACCTTTATCTTTTGCGTTTTGTTGTATAAATAACGAGCTAATTTTGCATTGCTGTTGTGAAAAACGGAAAAGCTATCTTCAGCTTCAGTCCCCGTTGTGTTCTACATCTATCAGACTTCAAAAACATCGAAAAAGACAACTTTTTCTAGTTTGAAAAAGTCCAAAAATGAGGGTATTCTAAGCCCCAATATCTCCGATGACCAACCACTTCAAACCATAGTTCCCACAGGGGGAGTGAAAGCCATCACTTGATTTCCAAAGACAGAAATAAACTTTTGGGTAACTGATTTAGTTATCCGTGTTGACGTGAAATCTTCATCTAAACTATCGCTTTTGGTCTGTTTTCGTAAACTACATGTTTGTTCATTTCGTTAAAATTGCACGAAATCTACAGAAATCGGAAAACTCGCAGTTTCCAGGGATTTCCTCCGTGGCCATTTTGTAGTCATCTGAGGTAAACCAAGTGGACGAGGAACTTCAGATATTCACGTACAAACGGCTCAACGTTTGGATGAAGAAGGAATAAAAACGTTTACTGGACAGCTAAATACATCACACTGAGGTTGCTCAGTTGATACCTCGAGCTCGATTGCACTTAATTAACCCAGTCCTCCTTGCTACATCGATATATAATATTAATCTGTTAGGTCAGTGTGATCTGTTTCGTTGGATCATTAAATTGCATAGTAACGGGACTTAAAGAGACTCACTGCCCTTGCCCTTTACTCAATAAACTACAGTATTGTTGATTTCCAAACACGTGCAATGTCGGAAGATTGCTAAAGGATCATTGGTTATCGTGCTCAACTAGTTCTCCTAGTTCTTCTAGTCTGCATTTGGTCTCCAAATTACTGTGCGAGAACGAGGCTAACTGCGGTGTAGCTTTCATCTCGGTACAAAGAATAATAATAAAATACAAATAATAATAAATAAGTTATTTCTTTTTGCGCATTTTCCTAACGCCCAAATGCGCTTTACGGTGTCAAATTATCATAACCTATACACTAGAAAATGGAAAAAAGTCTAAAGAATCGAAAAAATCAAAAGTCTAAAAGTACTAAAAATCCAAAAAATAAGTAAAAATTGAAAGTTTAAAAATATGCTTGTCGAAAAAGATAGGTCTTAAGCTTATCTTTAAAACTAGAGACAGATGCGCTGCTTTTAATCGCAAATGGAACCGAGTTCTAGAGGTATGGCGCGTGAAGCCACGATCCTGAAGCACCAGCTCTGATGGGCTGGTCATGTTTCCCGAATGGAAGACCACCGCCTACCTAAGATTGTCATGCACGGTGAACTCTCAACCGGACATCGTGAGAGAGGGGCTCCAAAGAAGAGATTCAAGGACAGCCTAAAGAAGTCACTCAGCATCTGCAACATCGACCACAAAGAGTGATCTGACCTGGCTACAGACCGTGGTACCTGGCGCCACACAATCAACCAAGCCACCGCTTAATTTGAGGAGGATAGACGTGAGGTACTTAAAGACAAGCGACAGAGGAAGGCCGCGCCGCCTCCACCATCATTCCGGAGATCACCTTTCTCTACAGATACTGCCCGCGGATTTGCCTTTCCCGCATCGGTCTGGTCAGCCATGAACGTGCCTGCAGCCGACGTCAACGTGGACAACCTTTTTAATCTTGGTTCGCGAAGTCAAGCCAACAACCGACATGATCAAACTTTCGCTTGCAAGTGATCACTTTTGCCGTCGCGTTCATAACATATTGTCTCTGAATAAGATAATCAGGTAGGCCATAAAGAAGCTAATTACAATGATCTAAGCGAGACGTTACTAATGCATGCACTGGTGTTTTGGTGGAGTCAATACTAAGGCATGGACGTATGCGACTAATATTTCTGATATGATAAAAGCAGTCTTGCATAGATCATTGAAGTGTTCCTCGAAACTCATGGTATCGTCGAGGACGGCACCAATGTTTTGTGCGCTAGATGTGGGCTCGACAGTGGCATCACCCACAGTAATCGAATCTAATTGTGGCTTCGGGCGGTGTTTAGCATGCAGAACCAGGAGTTCAGTCTTCTCGTTGTTTAACCGGAGATTGTTTAAAAGCATCCGTTGGTTCAGCTCACGCAAACAAACTTCAACCCTACTCCGCGCAAACATGACGTCCTCCAATTCAATGGTCTTTATGCTAAGGTAAAGTTGAATATCGTCCGCGTGCATATGAATCCCGACACCATAGCGACGCAGGATAGCTCTGAGAGGAGAGGTATAGACCAACTATAGGATTGTGTCCAACACAGACCCCTGGGGAAGACCGCAGATCAGTTGACGATCAGAAGAACTAGTATCTCTGATTTGGACGAACTGTGAACGACTGGACAAGGAGGACTCAAACCAAGTGTAGGCAGAGCCCTGAACACCAATCCACTGGAAGAGACGCGATAGTAGGCTGCCATGATCCACTGTGTCGAACGCTGCCGACAGGTCCAACCAGTACCAACATCACACACCTTCCATCATCCGGTGCACGTAGCACATCGTTATGCACTCATAACAGTGCTGATTCAGTGCTATGGCCCACTTTATAAGCGGATAGGAAAATCTCTTCAAGTTTATTTTCTCGCAGATGGGAAATGAAATAAAGGGCCGTGATAGTGAAAATGAGCGAAAATTTCTCGAAATTAATTGTGGGATGATAAAAAAGTATTTGTGGGAGAGAGGCATTCAGTTAAGTGATGGCGGCAAAAGAAAGATCGAGAGTGAACGAGCAATAAACTTATCAGTTGGCGGGTGTGACTTGATTTTGATTGACACTCTCTTTCAAGTTTTATGATGAGCAGCAATTTTTCAAAAAACGTCTGATATAACAGAGGAGCTTTCTATTTGTAATAAATCGATGCGAAAAAAGTGAATGTTGAAGACATTGGCATATACCCGATAAAAATGTGTTTTGCGCAGTTTTCAGTTTGTCTTCTTCAAAGTCATATGATAAACTGAACTTCTGAACTCCAACATGAACATATGAACACTCTCAAAGTAATTCAAAATTCATTCTTAATAATTATCTGTCCAAGAATAACTTCCCACAGTTCTAAATCGGCATTTTATAGAGGGTGTTAATGGAGTGATGGCTTTCATTTGCGGCTAACATTTTTTCGATTAACGGTTAACTGAGATTTGTCTATTTTTACGCTTAACGGCTAATTTTTTTCGCCGTTTTACGGCTAACGGTTAACCCCCTGAGACCCTCAGTTTTGATCGCAGCCTGCCTCCAATTACTATTTCCAGGGTTGAAATTCTCGTATTCTAACGCAAACTTCTTGAACCATCTGCTTAAGAAGCTAAAAGTAAACACACAAATTTGAAGATCACGTCTATTAATTCTTTTCTTAACAGCTGTGAAAGCAAATTATCATATTCTGGTCAGCTTCTCTTGAACGGTAACTTTTTTTTGTATGCGCCTCTTTGGCTTTTCATACCTTACTTAAGTGATAATATCTTTCTCGTCTGAAAAAAAAAATGAAGCTTGACTCTTTACGTAGACAGATGAGCAAAATGTTGTATCTATATATCATTACACTTTTTCAGCCTTGAATTTCTTCGACAAGCATCTTGTACTCGTGTACAGACTTCCTCTTGTGTTTTGTTAGAAGTGCTGCACCCAGAGCGCTCAGTGCTAGAAGTGCAGTCGCCATAGCAATAACGGGTACAGTTGGACCTGAGAAAAACGATACAGAAAGGACTCAGTCATATCACTTTTTCCCTCAGTCTTTTTTCACTTGCTCGTTTGGGTTTTTGTTCATCTGTTTTCTCCGTAGAGAACTAATTCCTTAAACTTTGAAAATCTATTTTTGTATTGTTCCAAATGACCCTCAAAAAAATATAATAGAATTTAGATGCAATACACACAAGGCCATAACTGCGATCGGTTTTTAATATCTCACCATTTCTGGTAGTATTAGTCGCCATTTCATCTTTGACTTCTTCTTTTCTCAACGTGATAGGGCCCTGGGCAAGAGGATAAACGTCATCGACGCTCTCCTGCACAACGCTGACATCACGTTTACTTCGATCTTCACAGATGCGTACGCATTTGGATTCTGGATCCGAATGGTTGCAAACCCTTATATGGCAATGCACAAAGACAAATGGGTGCTCTCCGATGAATTTGAAACTTTCCACACTAAAGCGCTCAGATCTCTCATTGGCCGGGTAATATTCGAGTGTCTCATCCATTTTGCAGCTAGTATGAGCGAAAAAAGGAAAAGGTGTAAGACATAGAAATTATCATCTCCCCTTTAACTTTTTCATCACGACATAAATCAGATGGGTTCTACTATTTTTGAAAGAAGATTGATGTAAGAATTAATAAGCCGCACACTCTCAATGCAAGTTACCCATTCTTGATGATCCAATATTTGGGTGAGCTGTTGATGTCGGGACTGGGCGTCGCAAAACATTCCCTGGCGAGGATGGTTAGCCTGTGGTCAATGGTGTCAACAGATGCCTCAAAGAATATCTTTTGGCGTAGTCTTAGTGTAATGGGGTAATCGTCTTGAGTGTATGGGCCAACAAACCTAACATGAAAGTGAAAAGCCATATCAGCATAGTGTCCAATACTAAGTTCGTTTTGAAACTGTTGAAATACTCTTCTTCTCTTGAAACTGAGTGCAACTGGGTTGAAATAGGCTAGCATTTGCTCACTTTATAGCTAGAATGATAAAGTAAGGCAATGATGACTGATATCAAGTGTGATATTGACAACTGTCCGAGTGGTGTTCTGCCGTGTGATATAAAACTCATCAGCGAAAGAGAGATGGCGGTTGGCAATCCCTTGAACAACGCAAATTCCCAGATTTGATTCTCAGTCTACTCTCAGTGTTTATCTTAAACTACGACAGTACTGGTTTACAGCCGAGTAGATGTTAGAGGTCAAATCATACCTATGAATTCAGGGACAAGTTCGAGTTCCCCAACGAAACTGATCATGGCTTCAAAAAGCTTCCTCATGCTCGTTTGTAAGCCAGGCGATATATGACAAGCATTCTATCCACAACTGGTTAGCATATTATTATTATTGTTATTACTTCAATACCGCCGGCTTATATATACACGCAAACCGTTTCGCTGGGATCAATAGTGTCAGTATAACATCTCATTCAAACCTGAGGTCTGGGAAGAGCTGTAGCCTCATGGTGAATTTGCCGAAGCCTTTTTCGGAGAAGATAACTTTCTCACTTCGTGGCATGAGTCCAACTCCTGACACCAGTCCCTCACTATCGTAATAACAATGAAACGGAATCTGGAAATCGGGCACGTGAGAAACAACGTCCTTTGCCATAGGCGGGACAGGCAGAGCTTCGTTGCTGTAAATAATTGACGAGTTTGTGTGCCTGCTCTTTGTTCCACAACTGGTCAGCGGTACGTCAAGGATATAGTGGGTTAAATTGTCGGTTGCTCCGCAATCCACGTCCAGGGCTCTGATATGCTCACGGTCTGTACCACGGAGCAAGGACTTGGGAATAGCAATAAGCATGCTGTTTTGTAAGCACTCCACAGTGACTTCATCATCTGAAAAGGAAGGGGCATAATATATCATTTAGAAGTATTGCTAAATAATCCATGATTATGCACAAGGAATAAAACCATATTTGAAAAGAAGTGCCCAAGAAAAAATGATTCAAATATGTTTACTTTTCTCTTGATATTCATTCATCAGTCGTATGAAATTTGAAATTGAACTAAAAAGTCAATCATTTGCAACAGAATCTCTGTCTTACCCCAAAGAACTAACCTTTACTATCATCTGAATAATGTAGGGAGGAGTCATCTTCTGTTGAAGTTAAAATAAAGTCACTACAGCTTAGCATTTTTACTGATTCATTTTAGGATCCATGATGGAGGATTCATCAGTGAACTCAAAATTTTCCCAATATATTCTATTGCTATCACTAAATGATTCTTCCAGATAAATTGTAATTGAAGAAAATACAGACAATAACACTGAAAACTTTAATCAGCGATAACTAAGGTTTGAAGCTCCTCGAGGATGAATTTTACTTTTTATTCCCCTTTTTAGCATTTTCTTCAACTGCAGTTCACCTGTGAGCATCATTTCGTTAACTGTTATTATCCATCGGTCAAAATATGAATTATTTAGTTTATCTGCGATAAAATTTTGTTTGAATAGGACATACTGGTAAGTGGTAACTCAGAGACAAAGTAAATCTAGTCGAGTTCTTTCCTGGAATGCATGCTAGGACAACGTCGACAGAACAGAACAGATGGATAGAAGGAGCGAACAAACTGCGCAAAATTTTTTCTTTCGAAAACATATTAATGTTTGACTTTCACAAGAAAGGATAACCTTTCTCTTGTTAAGTGAAAAATTCTTGATCATTAATAATTACAGTAGCTGTTGAGTTCAGCTTCATTGGGCAGTTTCCATTGCGACAAATGAAAAATGATAACTAAATAAAGTTTCCCGCCGGATGAATTATGATTGAAATTATTTAGCCATTCTTAAAACCACCCTTAGAGTTAAGCTCTCTTCCCACATCAACCTTGATTACTTTCCTTTAAGTTGAGCCTTACAAGTGTATTACAAATGACAAATATTTGTCCACGTTATGGCCAAAAGCACTCGACAATGAACATTGATTTTCTAACCAGTTCAATTCTAACTCATCTTCTAAGGAAAGAATGAAAAAATTATTTTATCTAATTTCTAAAATTGTCTTTAGTCTGTAAGACAGCATGTTTGTACCTGTTACAAGGGTTTCTTGTGAAGTTTCGTCGCTTATTTGATTCCCCGTCTTTCCTTCGCGCATGGCTTGTTGCGGTGTATCATATGAAAGGATTCCCTGACGACACCTCACTAGAGAGAAGCAAACTTGCAATAATACTAGTAAGACTAGCTGCTCGTACATTTTAAGGACCAAAAGTGGAACTGACTTCAGCTCATCGCTGGGAATGAATTTTTTTGGCGACAAGATTAGATTTTCCGCTTTGAAAATGATATATCAGAAGTTATTTCAAATGTGGACAAAAGGAAATTTTGTTTATTAATTTCTTTTATTATCTTGAAGCTATTTACATAATGTGAACACGGAAAATGTTCTACGAACCATGAAATTACGTGGATGAAGTGTAATATGTTCGATCCAAAGATACCTTGACCTTTTTATCACTAGATGAGAGCGACTAACATCCAATTTCTCCTTACAATGTAACCCCTGCATCATACATCAAGGTCTTGAGAATAAAGAAAATGATCTTCATTATTAGGAAATTTATATAGAGAACAATGCGGGAAATATGCTTACTGATGTTGGGGTGAAAACATCAAATTACTGTGCAATTTTTTATTGCCTACGTACAACAAATGAACGTCGGCAATGCCACAGGAACAAAATCTGAGCTTTTAGCCTTGCCACTTTGAAATTGCTGCGTTATTCATCGACTGAACACCTCTTATACTTACTGCTAAATTGTGTAAAATCTAAATCTATTACGACGTCCGTTCAGATACTTATATATATTAGAGATTGAATTAGGACATCGATTCGTAACGGATGAGTATGTGTTGTCCTTTGTTCAGAGCTGTCGCGTCTGTATCTTCTGTTATGGGCGTTGTTATTTATGGCTTTAGTCGTCTTGTTTCAATGTTCCTGTCACTGGATTCAGCGGGACACGATGGAAAACGAGGATACAAAGGAAACCTGGAGACAAAAGAGAAATATAAGTGAATTAAGTGTCACTGAGAAACTTAACGTGATATCTCTTTACGTAAGGAAAACATCGACTGGTGAAGACATTACCATTATGATGTTCATTCAACATCATTTTAAATACCACTCAGTTGAATTTTCAAAGAAATATTGCACAGAAATCTGAATCCTCGACAACTACAAAATTTGAAGCAAAATTTTTTTCTAGTCCTCGAGAAGAGGTGGATGAACTTGAGGACAATTAAGGATTCAAATGGGGAATGTTGAAGATTTTGGCTCTTCTACGGCTAAGGGCCAACTTCCTTCCTCAGTAATTATAAGGAATACTTTAATAGCTAACTTTTTTCACGACTAATGACTAAAACTTGTCAATTTTTACGCCTAAAGGCAAATTTTCTGGCTGTTTTACGTCCAAAGTTTAACCTCACTGTGACCCTCACAATTCTTTAAAAATATCCCCTCGCCTCTTAAACGATGACAAAAAAATTGTTTGTAGCGGAAAGAATCTACCGAAAAAAACTTCATGTGAAAGAGAGATGCAAACATGAAAAAAAAAAGAAAGTGTTAACTCTCTAACCCCCCTTCTTCCTCTAAACCCTAAGAGTGACTAGCATTTAATTTCTCCTTACAATATCACCACTGAATCACACGTAATTAAAGGTCGTGAGAATAAAGGAAATGATCAACAACGATAGAAGCTCTTGACTGTTAAACAAATTCTTCTTCTCAGCACCTTTGGAAATGTGTAGCGAATAGTATGGAGAATATGTATATCGATATTGGGGTATTTGGAATTAAGGAGCAGAAAGGAAAACTTGGTGGGACGTCGATATTTTGAAGTCAGTGCAGCAAGTCACATGGAGCTAAGGTGGAAAATGGGCTGCTTTTGCTGCCCGACGTTACCTGTCTTTCCAACAATTATCATCTTCAAGTTCAAAATTTTCTTCTGTGTCCTTTCCGCGGATTGCGCCAGTTGATACTAAACCATGTCTGGAATAATGGCAGCTGAAAGAGATCTGAATTTCTGGAGCCCGTGTAATGATCACTGTCTCAGGATAAACTTGTCGAACCTCGTTACTGTATATTATACTGCTGTCCGTTTGTCTACCGAATGTGCCGCATCTAGTCAGAGATGTAGTCAGAACAAAGTGCGTGGCATTTTCTGTTGCTGAGCAGTTAGAGTCCAGGAGTCGGAGGTCCTCTCCAGAAACCCTGGCGAGCAAGGCCTTGGGAAGAGATATCGACATTTCATTTGGAAGACATATCACAACAGCTCCACTGGCTGAAAATAATATGTGAAACAGGAAATAAGTTGATCTGAGCTGTATTACAGACAGCAGTAACTCCTAATAGTTAACACACTGTTGCAATATTTTTGCAGTTTACGCCGACATCAATACTTTGGAAGAAACTAATTGCGGGTGTCCCGAAAAGTGTCAAATTGACGAAATTCTGCTTAGGGTTTGCTTAATGCCTCGCATGTTTTTTTCATTGAGCTATGAGAGGCTCTTGGTTCTTGCAGCTAAGTCATTAAAGCAGGTTTGTCTGCCGAAAACATTTGCAGACATATAGGCAAATTGAATCTCCACGTGAAGCAACTGAATATGCTAGTGATGTAGATAGTTGGTTTAAAAATTCTAGCAACCTAATTATAAGGTGAAATCTTTGCAGACAAAGATTATTTGTAAGTTCAAATATTATTCCTTGTTGACGTGGCATCCTGGTAAAGGGAATTCTGCATTCTGATCGAATTTGGGTTACTTTCATAACAGTAACTATTATACAGAACGTATGTTGCATCGCTATGAAGTAATTACTGTATATCGGATATAACACAAGTAATTATTTGACGAGGTAGCATACCTTTCGAGTTAAATTTCTCGCGATCAACTTTCAGTGTACTGTGGTAATCATCACATGAATGTATCGAGCATTTGTCTCCAATATACTCTGTGTCACGGTTAACCTTTTGAATAGAGTTTTCGATGCTAACAACAACAATGAAGAATAGAACGAGAACCAGCCGCATTTTAACGACCGAAAGGTTTGATATACTCAGCAATTGTTATTGTTGTCGAAGGGTTTATTTTAATGTAATTCTGGCGTTCATAATGTATGCATCGTAATATAATGAAACGCTTGAACGCTTTTTTAGGTCCAAAGCTACGCATAATTACCTGTTGCAGAAAAAGTGAAATTGACGATGTTAAAACGGACGCAAGAAAGAAAACAAATGACAAACTCACGACTTAACCTCTCTTTTAAACTGAAGCGGACTATCACGAGTTGGTTCTTGCGACACTTAATTTTTTTTTTGTTTTTACATCTTTGCTTCTTCGACAGATTGTTGTCTACGCAACACATCATACACGTTGACGCAGCCAAAATAAAGCAGTTTGAATTTTGAATGTGCTATCTTTTTTTTAATGTTTTAAAGCGAGTAAGAGGTTTGTTTTTGCTCAAGGTTTGTGCGCGAAACGTCTAAATTAATTTCAAACTTTTAACCAGCGATGTGACATATGTTGTTATGAGTATCTGGTTAGGGCTTCACATGCTTTTGCAGTTTTAAGCAACAATCTTACAAAATTGAAGACTAGTGTCTCTCCTTTATCTATTTCCACATGGTAACAGTTCGTTGACGACCTCAACTAACAGCCCGCTATTATCGTCTTCGAAGAACTGTTCTTCCCTCATCTCTTGGACAGACATTCTAAGCTTCCTCCGTCAGTTTTGCCACGGGATGAGCGCGCATATTACTGACTATTTTGAGTGACCTCAGTGCATGTAAGTGGTATTATTACACGACTCGGGCAGTCAGAGGGCCAATAATTAAAATCAACCAATCAAAATGCTCTATTGCCGGTCAATATTCTCTAAGTATTGGACCGGGCACTGTCCCGAATGGTCCCGAATGACACCGCACTTGTGTCCCTTTGAACTTCAGTCGTATAATAAATCTCTTATTAACCAAGCTTGCTCGGGACCGTTCTGGAAGAATATCGGCCCTCGGTCTTTTTTGTACGGACCTCGCTGCGCTCAGTCCGTACTGTCAAGACCTCGGGCCGATGTTCTCCTAGTACGGCCATCGCGCTTGGTTAATAAGATATAAGTACTGCCTATTCAGCTCAGCTCGTAACAAAGCTTACTGGCGCTTTTCTCTGTCTCCTGATGCTTTTAGCATGTCCTCGATATCCTCCACCTTTTCTTACTTTTGGGTTAAATCTTCTGTTTTGTATCTCATCACACATTGTTGCCACGACCAGAGAGATCCGCACTCCTTCTAGAGAGTCAACTCTTTTCTTGACCAAATCCAATTCACGAATCTGGAGTTCAAACGGTATTCAATATTCGTCTTTGTGTTTCCAACTTTCAAATTTTTGTACTTTTCGGAGCAGCATTGGAGAAGAGCTTTTTAATCCCCCAACCACTACAAAGTAAGTTCGTTTTTCTTCCATCTAAAGCAATAAAGATGAAAAGTTGAAACTCTTCAGCTGGCTTACTTCCAATGGCTTTGTCTCTTTTCAACGAACAATTCGGAGGACAAATATCGATGTAAAGGGGATTTTTGGCGAGATAATTGTCCGCCAATTATACACTACGTGGTGCGAAGTAGCCAATGAAGTCACGTGGAAAGTGTAACACGAATCGACCTGTCAATGGAGCGCGCATGCCCCGGGCTTTAATTTCCATGGATACTTCAATGAACTTGTGGTAAATTTTGTTTTGCTTCTTACTAAAGTCACCTTTCCCTTTCGATAATTATTGGTAATTACAGTATATGGGTGACCGTTTAATGCAGGTTCGACTGTATGCGTAACTATTGTGGCAGCTTGAAAAGCGTTAAACTGGCTCAGTACATCTCCATGACATGGTTTGAATTGAAAATTACACTGAACTGATTCTTTCTAGGATTATTTCCGTTGAAGGCGCGAATTTTCCGTTCTTCAAGGAGCCACCATTCGCGTTATAAAGATTCGTTGTAGGATGAGCGACTTAGGAAGGTTACAATTCACGATCAAGGTCAACAAGAATTATTATATAAAAGATTAATGATCATTTTTCGAAGGCATACATAGACTCTCTGTTAAAGCTATCATGATCGTCATTAAATAGTAAATGACATTTCTGCTCTTGAAGCCTCTTAATAAAACGGCAAACAAACAAAAAAATGGTTGGAAAGTTTGAAGTGAATTGATAGTCTCCTTCGCAGCCGTTGTTTGGGGAAGGGAGCGTTGCGTGACGAGGAGCGTTGCGTGACGAGCCCAAACAACGGCTGCGATGGAGACTAGTGAATTGATTGCGTCTCTGAATTCGTAGAAGCAAATTTGAACCTCTCATCTGACTGACAATCCCTCAAAAAGTACAGATAGCCATTGTAAAAGGGCCATTGCGAGTGGCATGTGTAAATTGTGGCGCTTTTAAGCTGGATTATAAAGGTGTTTCTGCGAGACGTGCACCAACAGTCTTTGGGCATCAATAAAATTTCTCCGTGAATTTATGGCACAATCTGAGCAATGGAATATACATTTTTCTTGATGGCTCCTTTTTTGGAATAAAGCAGAACTATATTATAGCTGTTGTATGATCAAATGAACAAAAAGCTTCAGTCATTTCAACAGAATACTTCTCGCTTCAGCCGTGCCAGAGAAAAACATGAAGAGTTTACGCTGTGTTTACACAACTACGGAAAAGCGCGTAGCCGACTAAACTGCATCGATTCCTTTGGAACGCTCCAGGGAACTTTTGATACGTGCACATACTGGAGTTCAGAACACAACGATACATCCTAAATAAATAATTGTAAGGTGTAAAATATTAGGAGCTGCCTACTCTTTGGGCAGTAATCTTCTGCCAATAAATTCTTTACAGTCAATGGCTTCGATGACTCAAACAATATAGGACTTGACTTTTTTCACCCCACAAAGCAGACATACGCGCAGCAACAGGGAAGTCATTCTTACACAAGGACGCATGAATATTTATCAGGTGACAAATTTAGGAATAGTTTGAAGTTTTCTTCGCCCTTCCTTCTGTTTACTATATTTTTGGGAGGGCTCTCCGATCAATCGACGATGTAAAGCAAACTTAAGTAAAGAACAGCTGAATGGTATTTCGATTGCATGTACATGTGTCACGACATCCATGACGGCCATTAAAGCAACGGTCGGTAGTCTAGGTGTGACCAAATTCTGTTTTCTAAAAACTGCACTTCGTGGTCCAGTTTTTCAATTCCCTTTTTTTATATATGTTTTGAAAAAATTCAACCGTCTTAGTTAGGAACCACGTCAATTGTAGATTCCTTATAGTAGGTGTATAATCTAAGCTCATTCTTTTCGTCTTCTGGCTGTTTTAGTCTCTATCACAGCCACGCGCTCAACAAACCATCGAAAGCTAATTGAGAATTAAGCTTTTGATAATCATAGTTCAGTTTAGATAAAGCGCCGTAAGCTAGTTTCACAGGAATCTTTCATATAGCAACGATGTTGACTCAGGCTGACGTCAAAGCACAAAGCAAAGTTGGCTAAATTTTCGCTCTCTTTGCACAATAAGAACGCTCTGGAATGTGTCAATTATTGTCAATCCCTCGGTTTACTTTTCACTTATGTGTGTAGGAGGCTTTGTAATGTTAATCACTCCAAGTTAAATCTCTTTTACTGCACTTTCTTAGCTGACCTTGTTTACACACAGAGAAGATTGCAGGGAAAGAACGGAATTGTTTTTCTCTTCAAATCAGCCATGAGGCTTTTACTAGTCCTCGCTTCTCTTGTTCTCCTTTCCACGGCTGAAGTTATCGCAGTAGGTAATGCTCCTGACATTGGCCAGCCAGGTAAATGATATTTTATACTGCATAGCTTCGTAGACGTGCAGAGCTAGAAACTTTGCTCGTAAGTTTAGTTGGAAACGCCTTGGAAAGTAACGATCCACTTACGCGCACACACGTTCAAAAAATTGAAAAAAGTTTTACAACTGATATGGGCAGAAGCATTGATCATAAACTGACTTTAATTCAAAGCTGTACTCAGTTTAGAGAAACTCCTTCAACTCACAAAACATCAACGCGTGGCAAATTGTTTTAAAAAAAATTATAAATCCTTCTCCTACTTTTGAAAAGATGTATCATAACTGCATTTTAATGTGGCCTTGATATCTTCTTTGGTACATAAAATTTGAGCCGTAAATTTCAGTTGAGTTATTTTCAGGTTTTGTTGTATCAGGCAATCCCCCTCTTCTTAGAGTCGAAGAAAAAAGATTCAGCATTAATTTGTTAACAACCGAGTTAGGAAAACTAAAACAGCCTGCAAGACATTTCTGCTCGGTATGAGGTCAGCTCAAATGAACGGACTCTTCCTTTCCGAAATAAAAATTTTGCAGTTTTACACCAACGGTTGCATTGATCGAGACATTTATTCGACTCTGCAGAAATAACTAATAAGAAAGATATGGATGTTTTACCTATTTGATAATAACTCGAAGTTTTTCGCCAGCTGGCGTGGCTAGTAATATTTGGAAATCAAGTCCCTTAAAATCTAGAAAAAGTTTATCAAATCGGAAAACAAACTCAGTTTTTTGAAGACTGATTTTTCACTGATTAAGTATGGAGTATGAGTTCTATTGAAGAGCAAAGTGAAGGATTGCAGCTTTTTGTGTTCGACAAATACGAGTTTTTTTAATCTTTAAATATGACAAACTGATTAAAAAAATGCTTTTTATTTCTACCGCCAAAATTTAATCTTGCGTGGGATGTTTAGTTTGCATTTCAGTGTTGTTAGTTAACATAGTTTGAATCGACCGTATAAAATCATATCCCTTTGTTGACACAGAACTCATTACTAACTCGTAGCAATGACGTGTAGATATTCAAATCTTACTGATGCATGAAGCACCCCGTCGATAGTAACCAATCGCGATTCTACATTACCCGTAACAGGATTCAAAGAGGGTTGACTCGATCAAAAGAGAACTCATTGCATTATAATCATCTTTCTGACTACGTCATGACGTGATGCGTTCATTACTAGAATGGACAACGAAAACTATTAAAGCGAAAGAGAAACAATATAAAATTCATAAAAACAAGAATTATAGACATGAAGGTATCGAAACAACAAGTAAACGGAAACTGCGATACTTAAAGAAAATTTCAACTTTAAAGAGTTAAGAAGCCTTTCATCAATTTTTTCTAACCATGTCCGCGTGTCTTTCTCCTGAAGGTAGCTCCTGTAGTCCTCTTGTGGTTGGCAAAGGTGTAATTGTTCAAGACAGTTGCACTAAAGCACCAAGCTCTCCCGGAACCGTTTGTGACTTGGCATGTCCGAGCGGCATGAAATTAGTGGGACCCCCATTTCAGCGATGTGGAAGTGAGGGAACCTGGACTCCACCCAGTGGTCCCATCCGTTGCGAAGGTAAGGTGCTCTGGTGACTTTATAAAGACGCAAGCCGGTCTTTCTTCCGTAATTAGCATAAGATGGTTTTTTACCATCAATGGTGTGATCAAATTGAAAATTTAAGCGTTATATTTCTATAGTACAGGAATAAACATTACTATAAATTTCTTGACTCATTCTGTGGAATCATTCATATAGTTATCTATTATTTATTTAACTTCAGATATTAATGAATGTGAGTACGACAAGGGTGGCTGCAGTCATGAATGTGTGAATGATGTGGGCAGTTTCAACTGTACTTGTCCCAATCCGCTGGTTCTATCTGATGATAAACTCAATTGTAGAGGTGGGTAATTATAAGACTGTTGTTACAATGTTGTCTTTTATGTCAGGTCTTTTTCGGGGTGAAACTTTCAATCTCTACTAAAGGGTCCCGTTGACGAGGAGCAGCAAATGATCGTGAACGTAACGACGCTGGCAGGTTCCATGGGTCCGAGGATCGGTGGGAAGTTGACTCTGTGGACACGCCTTCTGATGACTGCGCAAGCACCGATCCTTGATCTTCACACTCTGTCACACCTTGGGCATAGGAATCCCTGGGCAGGAAACGTAGATACAAGAAACACTGCCTATTCAGTTGTGATGGCCGTAAACGCCTGGGATAGCAAGAACCTAAGATCGTGGGTTCTGAGTGACAGTCAAAAACATCCAAATGATATTACTCTACTTTGATGAAGACATTGATGAACCAACGAACAAAAGGAAGACCTTTTTAAGTTCACAGACTAAACTTGCCTAAATAATACGAGAAAAATAAGGATACTGCTATTCTTTCATGACAAATACAATCACGGCGTATAACTTGATGTCTCGATTTTCAGAGCACGTAATACAGAAGGAATTAACAGAAAATATCACTCAAAGAGGCTGTTGCGCAGATTCATTCGCTAAGTTGTCGATTTAAACTGATAACTTTACCGGGCTTCTGAAGGTGGATTGATGCAAGGTACAAATATCAACCAGCAAAATCAGGCAATCTGTAAGGCTCCTATAAAGTGTGCAACGGTAGGTGGCCCTGGATGCAACGCTTTACACAAGACCATCCAGAACGGTCATATTTTTATCACAAAATTTTGTTTTCTTGCAGCTCCTGGTCTCCTCCTAAACTGCAGCACACATGCTATCGAGGTCACAGTCCCTAAAACAGCTTTGCGCGACCTGCAAGGAGACTTCCTCAGCCTCCTGGACCCATCGTGTCCCGTAATAGAGACACCCACGCATTACATCTTTAAGACTGGATTGGACAAGTGTGGCACCAAAAGACGCAGTACTATGGACTTCATCGTCTATAGCAATAAAATCGTGGAGAAAAAGGCTGCTCCTGGCAGTGTCATTACTCGGGTTGGAGAAGACGAGTTCGACATCCCATTCTGCTGTTATTACTTGAACAACGGGATCACCTCAGCGGTTGGACTGAAGCCAGAGGTCAAGCAGCTGTACATTGATGAAGAAGGGTGAGGCCTTGAGAGAATTGTTAGTCCTGATGTACTGTTGTTGTTGCTATTTCTGCACAAGATAGTCACTGGAGAAAGGAAACGTAGCACTGCCGTTTGTGTACCTTCTTCATTCCTTGACCAGAAAATAATCAGTCCAAGCCGCTGCATCTTGGTGCATTGCAGCTACTTCTGTAGTAGTAGTATTTCCTTTAGTAAAAATTTTATTCCAAGTATGAGTGATTGAGAAATAATTTCTCTATCCACTGGAGGGTACCATCTTGATATAACAAAATTCTAATTGGAAAGAGTTTCCGTTGCAATTAATTGTTTAACTTCCCTTTCCACAGGTATGGTCGTTTTTCAATCCGCATGGATTTCTATCATGGTAAAGATTACCAGGATGTTCACTCATGGAGTGACTTTCCAGTGGAGGTACCATTCCGTGAGAGGCTGTTCTTTGAATTATCCATTGCTACTTTGGACCAAAGTCTTGAGATTATGGCAGGAAATTGTTGTTCAACACCTACCGCTGACCATAAAAAAGTGGACAGATTCAGGCACGAACTTATCCACGAAGGGTAGGCACATTTTAATAACAGCTCAACCATTAAATGAAGAGTAGGAGAAAAGAACAAAACTCCCGTCGGCCTGTTCCCTGCTCTATTGAATATTATATAGAAAAGGCGCAATACAAATAATAAATGTTATCTATTATTGTTATTGTTATCTATTATATATATTGTAATACTACAAGTATCTGTATTGTATAAGTCTTATACGATAATATATATATTACGCTGGCCTTTCCTTGATTATAACAAAACATTAGACTATCTGGGAAATATTGCGAACCAAAAATTGCTACTTTTTTCCTTTTTCCTGGCGGAATCTTGTCCTAGCCATTCAATTTGATGTTCCCAGTAATCGGTAAACAACATGTTAATTCCATCGTTTTCTCTCTCATTTTTTTTTATCACGGACGAAGTATTTTAGTAAACCGTGGCTTCATTATCTCTGTAGCTTGCATGGCGTCTAACTCTCTCATTTCTTCACCATTTCTTCACCATTTCTTTACTTGACACTCTCAATAGAAGATGTAATTATATTCCCTGTGCTTCAGTCCTAATCTGTGTTTAGTTCTAATCCGGAGTTTTTATCCCAGGTGCCCAGTCGATGATACAGTAAAGATGGAAGATTCACCTTCTCGTCAGAAGAAACGCTTCAGTGTTGAAGCCTTTAAGTTTGTGGGTGATTTTCCCTTCGTATACCTGCATTGCAGCGTGGTCGTTTGTAGAGCAAGTGATCCCGATTCCCGCTGTTCCAAAGGGTGCGTCCCAGGTTTACACGTTAACCCACCATGGGACGTTATGGAGAAGCTAAAAAAGAAAGAGGAAGCGGAGCACAGAAGCAAGCGAGCCCTAGACTATAAGGACCCCGAGTATTTAATCTCAAAGGGACCCTTTTCTATGAATGAGGATAGTTTAAATGATGAACCTGTGATCGCTCTGAAAGGACCTCAACAGGATCAGTCTAAATTAGAGGAGGATGAGCAAGGGAAAAACGAAGAAAAGAAAGGCAAGTGTTTTGAACTGCTGTAATTGAAGCTTTTTTTAACACTGTTAATTACGTTTTCGCTGATTTCGGTGTTTCTAGAGTTCTTGTAACTTGTCCTCAGTTACACTTCATCATCTGAGAGACTTAAACTAAGAAGAGTGATGTCCCCAATTCACATTGACAAGTAACAGTTTAAGGCGCAAAATGAAATTTCAGGGTGTATATCCGCGATAAAATCCTTGATCTGTTGATCATTGCGTGTCATTGCGTGTCATTGCGTGTCATTGCGTGTCATTGCGTGTCATTGCGTGTCATTGCGTAAGGAGGCCAGTTGGCTAAAAAGTTACTTTCGGTGGCTTAGGTTCCTTATACTGCTAGTTTGCTGTTTGGATCCCAAAGAAAAAAGGTGAGATTCAACGGTCTGGATCCAGCTACGCACAGAAAGTTACAACAGAAGTTAAACGAGTAGCCAACCCCCTCTCCAATCCCCCTCCCCACCCCCCTTCTTAGGTTAATGCGGCAAAAACACCATCATCATTAACAACAAGTTTTTGCATTTTAGGGTGGAGCTCACGCGTGACAAACGGTCTCATGGTTGTAATTGCTACGGCAAGTGTCCTCGCTCTCGTGGGCGTCATCCACGTCACACGCATGATGAAACGCGGCCGCAATTACAAGGTGGTCGACCAGTTTTGAACAATGGAACCTTTTACGAACCTTTTCTCGATTGCCCTTTAGAAACTTCACATTGTGCAAACCGTGCCAGCTGAAAAGTGAATATTTTTCCTTGCCATCTATCCTGCTTTTTCTCTCTCAATATTTCATCATCGGTGAACGCAAAAGTGAGAAAAAAAATCTGAAAGGTTTTATGGAGATAACAACTATACTTGCCTTTGAATGATCCAATTTCTGAATTTTGTGTTTGTTAATTCTCTTGAACGACACATTTATTTCGTTCCTTATTTCGAAAAGCAAACCCTAACAGTTGATATGAATAACAAATTTCGTTAAATTTTTGGCAGTTTCTTTCATGTAAATTAATTTTTTTACACACTATATGTCAAACTGTTTTCATTTATTTAAAGATATTTTATCAAAAAAGAGTTAAGTGGCAACTTTTAGATCAGGGTTGATTTTAAATTCATAGCGCTGTATACATCTTTTCTGGTGTTCCTATGTTACACAAGATAGATTAGTGAAGGATTCTGTAGAGCAAGAATAAAATAACTTCGAAAGTTAACTACTGTCATTTTTTGTTCATTGTTTTTCACTGTTTTGTTTGTTTGTTTGTTTGTTTTATACAGTATCGAATCATGCGTAGTTCTTTCATTTTCAAGTATGAAACGTCATTACAGACATCCAAGATCAGATAACAAGATTATGCGTAGAAAAAAAGCTTAACTTTCGTCCAGATCAGCCAAGACTAAATGTGAATACAAATGGCTCTCAAGAAACAGAATATATGCAAAGGCTTGGAAAGAATTTTGTCAGTCTTAATGAAATTTGTTCCACTATTATTCCGAGATTCCACGAATTAACTTTCAGAATTAAAGAGCCAGATAGCTCCCGGATTTTTTATATCCTAACCTGTCTTCCCAAACTGATTGCTGCAACGACTGATGAAGGAAATAAATCAAGTTTCACTTACCCTCCGACTGCAGCAGTGACTTTGTATGATGGGATAGTGTAGTAAAATCTACAGAAAATTGCCATAGATGCTTTCTCGTGTAGCATGACTTTAAGATTAGGTGGAACCCTTGTCTTTATGGTGACACTGAGATGAGGAACTGAAAGGAAAAAAATAGCCTCTGTTAGGCCAAGAACACATCACAGCCGCACATGATGCCAGTTTAAGTCGAATAAAGAGACTAAACATCCTGTTACTCCATAGCAATTCGCCAGGTCCCAGTTGTTCAAAGAGTAGATTCAGCTATTCGCTGAATGGATAGCGGTGGTAGCCGGTGGATAGCGCAGTTCGTTTTGGTTACACTGATCCGCTGGATAGCGAGTTATCCGTTGGTTATCGTTATCGGCGCATTGGACAGCCGGGCCCTGGTTTATCTGATATTAGGCTGGCACCCATTCTTACAACCGTGCCGACCATTGGGACATTACTATCCGGAAGTGAGGATACTGGACTCCAGCCTAGCAATCCGGATCAAGTTGTGGTGACTTCAACTTCTCAATCCCTTTTCCTCTGTTTTGAATCTAGATCATTATTTAAATTACAAACAAGCGAGGCGGAAAGCGCCTTTTTAAAGTCCGGGTCTATTATTTGTTATTCACTTATATCTGTCAATTCCTTGAATGCATTCTTCTATGTGCTTTTTAAACCCACCTTAATTTTAAAGTTTATATCAGCAAACAATGGGAGCAAAAAATTTCCTATAAAAAATATAACTCCCAATATCTTTCTCGACAGTGATTTCCATGAACAAAGCCGAGTCTTCGCAATAAGTTTACCTACATAAGGAATGATATCGCAGGGCAGTTAGAAATGCAACAGGACTTTAAAAAAAATTCTTCGTGATTTCTTATAATAAAGCATCTGCTCGACAGTTAGCTTGCCTTCGGAGGAATTTTTATCATCCCGGGATTTTAACGTGTTTACATAACATGGTGTACACCTCTTTTAGTTGTTTACTGTGCTTAAACAATTAAGCTCACAAAAACTTCGGCTCCTTACCTCTCTTGTCCTTTAAAGTTTCGTGGGAAGCGATTGTTATGTTAATTTGGGGCTCATTTTAATCTCGTCTAAAAATTCTTTTGAAGTCCAAAGTTTTGTTGACTTTAGTTAAGTTTTGCTGGGTGTGGGAAAGAAAAAAACTTTCCCTCTTCCAGTCTAGCAAAAATGTATCGTTACTTACTACTCGTGTGTCTTGCTTTGCTGGACGATGTAACAGCCAAAATACGTAAGTTGAATATTGTTCCAGTTTTGTAGATTGATCTATGATTTGAAAAGCGATAGGTAGTGAAAATATCGCATATCATTTCTGATGATAAACCAAGTTAAATTTTTGAATGAAACTTGCTCTTGCAACTCAAGAATAGTTTTTGTCCTTGTGGCAATTCTATAGTGCCATCGTTAGATTAATAGCCTTAAAGCGCAATTCATACTAAGTTAAATACTGAGGACAGTTGTGAACCTTGTCAATGGGAACCTAGAGGCTTTTAAATAGGTCTAAACAGGGCTGCTTAAACATAGCCCAAAAAATTCCAGCGTTAAAAAATAACTCTATAACAGTGATTTATTCTTTTTTCATCTCTTCAAAAAGGGGTAACTGACTTTATTTATAATTTTTTTTTCTAATGTAATCCTAAGTTTTGTGAGAATGTTAACATGTTCCCTTAGAGTTTTAATTATGCAGTACAAATTCTCGTGTACCCGGCTGCAAAATGAAAAACCTTGTCTAATGATAAAAGAACATACGATGTGACTCTTATGAATCTGAAACAGTTGGATCAATCAAAATATAGCTGAAATGGCATAGACTTCTCACATGCTCTCCTGGAATAAGCTGCAATTGTCAGAATTAGACTTGCCGGGTTCCGAAAATGTTTGCTCAGTTACATAAGTATGTAATCATAACATGATGGTTTTTAATTTCAATTTTCTGTACTTTAAAGCTGTAAGTCTCTGTTCTCTTTGCCTGAGGTATAACTGCTTGAAACTGCAATGAATAACGACTTTCGTTCAAATGCGGTTTTTATCAGCATACAAATTTGAAATCCACTGGAATAATTAACTCCGTTTTTAAGTGTCCTAAAAAAAAAAGACAGAAAAGTAAACAATACATTTTATGACTTGAAACTTTCCTTACTCAATAACCTCTATCGTTGCTCAAATTTGGAGCCAAATATGTGATGTATAAGCTCGCTTAAAATTTTCCCCCTTCAAGAACACTCCAGCTTGGAAAAAATATTGAGACTATAACGATTCAAAATCGATTCAGTTTACCAAAAGGTCCTTTTTTACTATTTAAAAATTCATTAAGGCTATGTTACCGAAACATTGACTCTTGCAAAGACATATTTTTCGCGTCTTTTCTTTGACTAAATAGACAAATATTAAGAAAGACGCACATAGCTCCAAGACTGATTTACTAGCAATATTACGGGTTAATTTCTTTCACACCACCAATGTTCTTACTTTTATCTTTCCAGCTTTAACCCATTTGGTTTACCTTTTATTCGAAACATTTAATTGCTGCAGAACATTAATTAAAACTTTTTGTACACCAGAATTAGCTTTCACCGCCGATATGCATTATTACTGGCGGCATTTATTGCTTTAATTCTGGCACTTTTTAAAATGATTTACGTTATTGATTAGCTGAGAAAGAATTGTTTATAAGAGTGCCATTATCTTATCGCCTACTCAACACATTCCTGTCGGAACAAAGTGTAAGGGACAAACTCGAAGACAGGGGAAATGCGTCTCGAGATAAAGCAAGATAAATTCAAAAAAATTATTTTACAAAATGTAAGGACACGGCCAAATGTTGAGGTGACAAGAGGGAAGTAAGCTTTCTCGCGTTATCACAACTCGTCAATTAGCACCTTTAATCAAATATGTGACGTCGAAGGTTTTTCGAAGCCCCCTACTCAAACATCTTATGATCAAAAGGAAACTTCTCCTGAAGGAATTTCTGCTTTACGGCTGTATGCTGACATAACACACAATGACCTTTTAGTGCCTAGACACATGAACACATAGCCATGAGAGAGGTAGTAAAAACAAAGGAAAAAATAACCCAAGCAGTCGTTCTGGACCAGTTTTAATCGCTAACCAAACTCTAACTGCTTTACACTCCCAGCGGGTTGAGTCGAACGAGAGCTGTCTGGTAATAAGCAGTGATCATGGTTGTAAAGGAACTCCTGGATGAGGCATACTAAACTCAAACTAGAATGGATTTGGGAGAGTAACATAGGAGCAAAAAACTTTGCCCCATTTGCAACGAGTTTCACTCAAATATTTGGCCCTGCGAGTGTGATCGTAGGAAACATTTGGCCTTCTTAGCTAAAGAAGTAGAAATTTGAAGAACAAAAGTTTTCAAATTCATTTTCAGCTGCGGCACCGGGTGAAAAAAAATGCCCAGCCCTTCAAATAGGGGCCCGTGTGATTACCAAGCATTCCTGTACTAGTGCCCCAAGCGACGTCGATACAGTTTGTTCGTTCGAGTGTCCCAGAGGATACCTGCGAAATGGTCCGGGACTTAAACGCTGCCAGTTAGACGGTTCTTGGACAAATGCTGATGATCCTGTCAAATGTGATGGTAAGTTTTCACATATTCATAAATTCGTTTGAGGCAAAATTTTCAGTCCAATCTCAATTGTAATCTGTGTTTGTGTTTGTTTTGCGATGCCACAACTTTTAAATGGTCGCTAACCCTAACCTAAGACTCGATCCTGATGGAAGAGCGAATCCACCGAACAGTGGCGTCCAGTCCCGCGCAAGAGCCGGTTGTATAAGGCGTATTTTCTTTGGTTTCTCTTTGGCTGCTTGCGATGCGCACGTAGCAGTAATCAATTTTTTTGAACGTGTGGTGCCCTCCTTTTCCTTTGAAAGGTGCTTTACAAAAAAAAAAACAAAACAATTTGACCCTCTCATGTCGAGAGTTACCTTAAAGTTAAACATTGACCGCAACATAAACATAGTAAACATGCCAAATAGTTAATCTAAAAACATGACAAGTACAATGCTACAAAAATTATCCCGTTCGACCGGTTCACCTCTTCGATAAACGGTATCATAATCAAAAGTACGGTATTTCTACTTTCTCCTTGAAATACACTTCCATACAATCCAATTCAATCTGTACGTGTTGTCTCCAGATGTGAATGAATGTGATACCGCTAATGGGTTCTGCAGTCACCTCTGCGTGAACAAACCTGGAAGTTACAAGTGCAAGTGTCCTCCGCCGCTTAAATTGGATCCGAAAAATCAGAGGAAATGCGAAGGTAAGCTGCTCGCGTAGATTCTGGAAGAATTGAAGACTTGACGTCAGGTCAAATAGCACGACCTACAGCTTATTTAAAGGAATTTACGGGCTTGGCATCGTATGAAACACAGATGGTACCAATGAGAGCCATGTCTTTGATATTTTATGGTCTCGCTATATTGAGTTCAAAGGAATGGAAAAAGAAACTTCAAGACGCATATGCGCACTTCTGCTTTGCGGCAGATCCGCCAAATCTTCATACTTTATGCATCTTAGTTTAAAAGCAAAATGTTTGTTCTCACAGTTGGACACACGAGAGGTTGAGGGTTTCCAGTGTACTTTAAATACGGAAATTAACAATTATTTTTCCGTAAAAATATGGCTACCCAATCAAGATTCGAAAATTTAGAATCGGTACATTTAATCAAATTTTTACACTATCTGGGAAATTGACTTTGCCAACCTATTTTCTTCAAAGGAATAGTGACAATATACGAAAACTGTACATATTTGTGGTGTACGTATCTTTGTAGGTCCTGGTGTTCAACTTACTTGTGATCCAAATCACATGGAGATCGTTCTACCCAAAAACCTCATCCACAACTTACGTCATGAGCACCTGAGTCTCATCAACTCAAGCTGTCGAGCAAACGGGAACGCTACGCACTACAGCTTGTCTACAGACATCACAAAATGTGGAACCACTTCCCACGTGTACAAAAACTTCATCGTGTACACCAATAGGGTGATCGAATCTCCTAACGAAGACTCGGACGTCATAACCCACGTGGGCGTTAACGAAATCAAAGTTCCATTCAGTTGCTACTTCAACGACCTCGAAATCGTCCACTCCGTCGGGTACAAGCCTGTGGCGCAGAAAATCCACGTGTACGTCAAAGGACGCGGTGAATACGCTCTAAGCCTGGACATATTTAAGGATGGGAGTTATGGAGAAAGATCTCGAGCTTTGGCGCCATTGTCCGCGAAGTATACGCAAGACGACTTCCCCATCAAAGTTCAACTCCGTGAGCGAGTTTTCGTGCAAGCATCGTTAGACACTCGCGAGAAGGATCTGAAGATATTTGCCTCCAACTGCTGTTCGACACCAATGCACGATCACGAGGCTACTATGAAATTCAGACACGCGTTGATTGTGGAAGGGTAAGATATAGTTTTTCTCATTTCTTTTTTTAGTGTTGAAGCCTAGAGGTTGACACACCTGTTAGTAATGCAGAAATAGTTAAGACCGAAAGAAACACTTAGGTGTAGTAACTTAGAAGGAAAACATAAACACCAAATTTCAATCAATCTGAACAGGGAATGGGCAAATTTTGTACCGCTCCGTCGCGCTTAATCTTTAAAGCCTGCCACTTCAAATAAGTGTGGTAGCAGCCAACAGGCAAACCACAATTCACTGGCATTTTGCTCTAAAAAAAAAGCACCAGTAAAGAAGAACAGTTTTGTAATACCCTAGCTTTGGTGTCACCGCATTGATAAAACTGATAACCAAATACATGTAATGTATTTTGAATCATAACGAAACAATTATAAAATAAAACATTTCTTTTAGTTTTTAAAACGAGTACTTGATGGATAGATCATAAATAAAAGTTAGTATTCTCATATATTTTTCATTCTCTCCAGTTGTCGCAGGGACCCTACTGTTCAATTCCATAACTCTTCTGACCCAACGAAAGTCCGATTCAGTTTCGAAGCGTTCCAGTTTCTTGGCAACCACGATTACGTCTTTATCCATTGCCGTGTCCATGTGTGTGATGTTAACGATAAAAACTCTCGCTGCGCGAAGGGATGCCTCCCAGGATTCGGCAAGCCGCCCGCGCAAGATCATCCTGGTAAGATTAAGAAACCTCAGACTCCGGCAAAACGTGCGAAGAAGCCTGTAGCTCAACCAAACGTAAAGAACGTAAAGAAGGTGGTGGCGTCGGGTACCAGCAAGGAAGCGGAAGTTCGATCTGAGAGCAAGAAAAGCACTGTGAAGGCTGTAGCTAAAGTCTTACCGGAAGCACCTTCGATAAACAAGAAGAAGGTTCAAGATCAACCCAAGAAATCACAAAAGGAAGATGCCGAGACGGAATTAAGCCATCTTATGAAACGTGCTGCTGCTTCGCGTTTTCCAGAGAGAGGCGTGTTGGGTTCTGCTGACCTAACCTCCAAAGGTCCAGTCTTGCTCGAACATGACAAAAGAAATAGCAAGAGAGAGCCTGGGCCCAAGAAAGTATTCGCCGATGCGAAAGGGATTGATATGAGCCATGATGTGAAGGAAAAGAACCAACGTAAGTTGCTAATACCTTTAAAGCTTAAAACAATGTGGTTAAAATGAGAAACAAATTGAGATTGCATTCAACGCCCTTGTGAATTTCACTTAATGAAACGAGAAAATTTATATACTTCTGACCGAACCAATACTGACTAGAAGTGTCATTACTCATGAATTGTCAAGTACGAAGAAGAACGCATAAGAGAAATCAAACATACGAGAAGAACAAATTTCGACCTAGTTCCGTGGCCTAATGAACGCGTCATGCACCTTGGTCATAATTCCACCTCACAGTGTTCTCTACTTCTCCGTTCTTACTCATGACAAATTAAATCTTTGTCGTTTTCATCATCATACCTTTTAAACTTGTGGAGGCAGCGTGGCCGAGTGGTCAGCGCGTCGGACTCGTAATCTGCTGCTCCCGGGTTCGAGTCCCGCCCTGACCACTCCCTGGATTTGTTTCACGATAGCTCCGAGTTCAAATCCTCGGCCACGCTTGCAAATAGTTAACTGGTTTGCCTCCGGCCAGTTGGGATTCTTAACAATTTATGTTCAATTTGAATTATTTGTTTCTGTTGTTTATTGTGGAAAGTAGCTTGTAGCTAAGTGTTACTTAAGAGATGAAAATTCTCGATAATTCAATTGTGGTACAAAATTTTCCCTCATTGTCTGAACATTTCTGGAAGAATTTACTGCTTTCTCTTTTCAATAAATTGACTGGAGGAAAAATGAGACTGGAAGAAAAATATGCTATACACGAACAGTCCGCGAGCGTTGGTTAGGAAATGGAAGGCTCCAAACGTTTATTTTCATCTTCCTTGTTTCAGGTTCGTCCGTGGCTCCAAGTGCGACGAACATTGTTCTAGTGGCGCTAACAGTAGCTTCCATCATGGCGCTGGTTGGGGTTGCATATCTTGGTCGCAAAGCGACAAAGATTGTGAACAACCCTTACAATTACGATTCCTTAGCAATCGATCAGTAACCTTCATTAGTTTTTAATCCCACTTCCTGTTTGTTCTTTGATATAAAATTGGTTTTAGCCCTTTCCAATCTGTAAAATGCTTGAAAATAGTAGAATCTAGTTTTATCTCAGCCCTCCTCCATGAAACTTTCACGAGGTTCCACAAGGGAATAAAGTTCTCGCACAATTCACTCGGATAAAAGATGGCTCCTTTACACGGTTTTAAAGTATTATGATAGCGGAAAACTGGGCTGGTATTTCTGCTTGTTTTTTTCTTTTCTGCCCAATATTTTTCTGAATTAATCTGTTTCAAGAATGTTTACTCGTGTTAATAAGGACACGCCCATATACGCTGTGCTTAAGGCAAAACATACGTACTCGAAATACAGTCAGTGAAACGGTTATCAGTCGAACCGGTATTACGCGCACTGTTTGGCACCTTGTGAAAGCAGTCAGTTTCCAAAGTCCCGAATTTTTTCCCCTTAATCTCTGTAACTTTCACCTATATAGTGTGGTGGTGGTGGTCTTCTTTGACAGCCCTCCCAACGGCCTTTTCAGATTGTCTTCCACCTGTATTGAACGGTATAGAGCGGAAAAAATCAAATAAAACTAAGAATAATCTTCAAGTAAATTTAAATCCATGTTTATCTCCCGGAATCAATGTTGGAAGTATTTTTATGCGACTTTTTGTACGCTAAGTGGATAATTGTGGCATAAATTGGCGTTTTCAATGGTTGTTTTTACGTTTTATAACATATTTGTATGCATGTAAGCAAGTTAGGTAGTCGTCTCATAATGTTAGAGCCGGAAAAAGCATCGTGAAAGCATTCTTGTAGGTTCGTTTTCTTTCCAATAAAGGTATAGGTATCCGATACAGACTAACTGATTTTTTTGCTTTTAATGAACCTAAAAGACAAGGCATTACTGAATGGAGATAAAGTAAATGTAACCATTTTGGAAGCCTGCTCCAAATTACTTCTTTTAGGGAAATTAATTTGACCCAGAAGACAAAGTGTTCAGCATCAAGAATATTTTATTTGCGGAAGCAGGGCTTCTGCATCATCGATGAGTCTGGAATTTCAAACGAAAATAACGCCAAAACACGAAGTAATATCTAGAGAGCCAGGTCCTTCCTTGATAATGTACGGGTGATCAGGCCCTAATTATCATACGCCCCTTCACTCACGAGTAAGTTTAAGGCCTTGAACAATGTTAGCCCGCGAAATGTTTGCAGGGGGTCTGATACTGATAACGAGCACCAGACCCCGCTCGTTCTACAGCGCTAACAATAAGGGCCTACACAGCGCAAGCTAGCGTTGTTTTTGATTGGGCGATTAGGACCTCAGGAGCTGGGGTGGAGATCATCCGAAAACAGACCTTGCGTCAAGAATATAGTTTGGTTGATCGGATTTTACGTTCCAGCCATAACGTCTTGTTAATCAAATTCAATGGCGGGTAAAGACCTCCTCTTTTTTCCGAGTTTCACCTTCCCAGCTGCACCTTTCTTCGTCTTTTCAGATAAAATAAGGCGCTTTCTTTTCGCTGAGCCCTGAAAGAAAACATAACGAAACTTAAAAATCTCTCGGGTTGTAGACATTCAAAACAGTTGACAGTCGAGTATCGATTAGCAGACCCGGATCCGTCGAACACCACACACGACCGCGAGTGAGAAGCTCGCGGTGTCCCATGAGTATCTTCCTCCTCATTTCTCAACATTTCCTTAACGTACATGTACAGTGGACAGGTAAATGTCAAAACCAAACTGTTCCCTTTGTCTAAGCCAGTAGACAAAAACGCCCCCGTGTTATAAATGTACGAGGCGCCTGTGATTTAAAAACCTTTCTTAATTTCACCTCTCCGCTCCCTTCGCTGACGCCCCCTCCACTCTCTACCAGACATGTATCATGGAACTTACCTTTAATGTGTCCTTGATATGGTCATTCTCAACCGCGCCTTCATTGTCGTTTACGTGATATCCATTTACATGAGGTTCATAAGCCACTCCCATCTTTTTCTTCTTTTCGGGAGTCGGTTTAAGTTCAGCCATCGAGGAATCTATTTTCTGGGTGGTATTAGGACCGCCGCTGAACCTTTCCGCTTTTTTTCTCTTCTGTTTTGTTTTTGATGTAGACGTTGTAGAAGAGCTTGACATTAAACGTGGAGAAAAATGGTTTAGCACATCACAAACAGTGTCCAATGTGACGCTTTTGCCATCTGGTCCTTGAATTTCCAAATCGGGCATGTTTCTAGAAACAGTTCGAGACACAATGGGTGTGACACAAAGAGCCACAAACCAGCTTAACTCCTGAATAATCAGGAACCAATTATGTAACAGTTACAATGACTACACACACAAGGTAAACCACTTAGCACTGAAAATTATCCTTAAGTTACAATTGCTATGTAAATCATTCAGTAGAATGCCTACTTTGTTAGCATATGGAGAGAGTGAACAACAGCTACAGCTTGCTGAAGTAACATGACGTCATCCTCTCCAGACTGAGATGTGTGTCCATTTAATTGACTGAAGTGGGAGGCCAAAGAATACAGCTGGAGATGAAATGGAAAAACAAACAGAAAACCTTTGTGCTAAGAGTAATCCATTACTGAGTTACAGCACTTATCGATAAATCTGTAATTGGTCTTGACAACTTATGTATACAAGATAAGCCTTGCTTCGAGTACATGTACATGTACATTAAAAGAAAAGGTGCATTTAATGTTTACTTAACAAGTACATGAATTGACTTTAATTTATACTTATTTAAAATTTCAGGAAGAGGGGTGCCTATTGGAAGGAGGGCGCTCAATGGAGGGCACTTAATGGAGGGCACTTACTTAGAATCTATTAACCTGTTCTGATTTCACTGTTAAAAGCTTACCAAGTTATGAACAAAGTGATGAAAGAAATAAGTTTTTCTTGTATCCCTAGACTATTTAAGAAAGTGATGAATGAGTGGGAAGGCACTCCTTTGAGAGAGGCACCTGTTTGTCATGTTATGGCCTGGCAGAGGAGGGGGGGTGGGTGCTTATAAGAGTGTGGTAGCCTATTAGAGCATGGCTGCTTATTTAAGGAAATACCTTAATTTCAACTGTGAAAATGTGATGATGGAATTTTCAACTTCTCGTTGATTTAAGATAATATCTTAAATGCTTGAAAACTTATATTGTATTTTCACCATGTAAATCCGTGCTAACTGCTTGCTTTCCTTATTGCAATGATGTGTTTCAAAATTTGCTGTCATTTCACCCCACCTTATTCCATGACTTATACTCAGAAATCTCTCACTAAATTTAGATGATCTGTGTCACATAAATTTTTGTTTCAAACAGGTATATTTCCTGTCATGTATCAGAATTCTCTTGTTACATCTCCTCATGAAAACCCTAAGTGTCTATTATTGACTAAAGTACTGAAAGCAGAGGCTGGAAAATTCAAGTCAACATACCTTAGTAATGTCTGAAGAGTTATCTGAGGACAACAGAAAATTCAGCAATCTTGCGAGATTCAACAGCAGCTGACAGTCTTGACAACAAACCTACAGTTTTAAGTGAAAGCAATTCGGGGAATTGTCTTAATATCAATGTATGATGGAAAGAACGTGATTTCAGGTGTGGATTTTGATAAAAAGAACACAGTGAAAGGTTTGGAAATGAGAGCTTTTCCCATAGCCAGTCAGCATTCCATGCTTTAACAGCACAGACAGCCCACCTTAATACCTCACGGCCCCACTCAGGGCAAAGACGACTAAGCAAGCCAAGCATAAAAGGCTAACCTTAAGTATGGTGTGTAAAAAAATACAAGGATATTTTATGGGAAAGAAAAGTCTGTTTCTCACAGACCATGGATTCATTTAAGCCCAGCAAAAATGAACTTTACGAAATTCTACATCCAAGGGTATTATTACAACACCTGTTCCACAACCCACTTCTACCCTTGAGTGTAAAGATGAACAACCTGACATTTAATCAGGGCTCAACACTAACTTTTCAACTTATTAGCCAAGTGGCTAGTGACAACTTAGATGTTACAACAATTTCAGTTTGTTTAACTAGCCAATCTGGCTCGTGGAAATTGAAAACACTAGCCAAAACTGAATTTCTAATAGTCAGTGTGGCTAGTTGGTTTCTGTTAGTGTCAAGCACTGTTAATGGCACTCAAGAACATCACACATTTACTCTGAAAAAGGCTTTAAAACTTAGGCCTCTTCTATCTGAAGCAATAGCGTTATGGGCACATAACACTACGCTGCCCCAAGTACAACAGCAAAACAGATGGGGGTAAAACGTTTTTAATATCATCAATCCTACTGTGGAACTCTTTACCTGTTAAAATAACATCTAGCCAAACTATCAACTCTTTTAAAGGCAAATATATTGAGCACATAAAGGAGGGGTACACTAATATTGATCATTTTCAAATATCCTAATATTCTTAACTTTTATTCTTTTATTGGATGTTGATAGCTAGGTCATTTCCTATTATTGTAATTACTATAGTTAGAAATTTCTAAATTATTGCAATTGTTTGTAACTTTTTCTTATTGTAGTTTAGGTGAGGGCCACAGGTTTCTCAGTCTAAGACCGTAAAGTGCTTCCCTCGTTAAATAAAGTTATTTATTTATTATTTATTTAGCAATAACAATCATTGTTTAAAGGCTGCCTCCACAGATAAAGAATAGGCATAATTCTAGTTTTTTGATGGAGAGATGCTTGTAATCCATAGTTATTCTCTTCTACAAAACAAAGAGAATATTTCATGTTTTCAAAACTAACCTCTGCTCCTTTAATCCTCAGAATTCTTTTAGTCCAATCTATATTCCAAGTTAGTACTCTTTGCACAGTACTCTGACAAGTTAAGAAGATGCATATTATACAGTTGTAATGAAGAAAGAGGTTTTGTTGTGGAGGAACTTAGTTATTTCTTTTAACCAATTACAATGAATGTCTTGGGAATGATTTCCAGATGCTTTTGGCTCACTGAAAACTTTCCTTGCCTGGTAAACAACACTGAACCAAAAGAACGGAAGGAAAGTAAATGACAAGAGTCCCAGGAGTGGCCAAACAGAACTTTCTTATCACCTTTGTAAGGATATTTTCTGAAATAAAAGGGATGAGCAATAGATATCACTCACCACAGATTCCTGTTGGGTCTCCAAAGTCACATGGTCACTGGAAACTATCCTGCCACACCATTTACAATGGATCTTCAAACAGATAAAGAACAGATTATTTCTTATACCCCTCCCACTCATCAACAAAACTTCTGTTACACCATTAACCCTTTCACTTCAAAGATCTCTCCTGCATCTATTAAATAGTTAATTTGGTTAGGCATGGGACGTTAAAGAACCCAGTCACGAGATTACTGTGATGTGGTCTGGTCTGGCCTGTTCACTGGGAATTGGGGGGGAGGGGGCATCTTCAAATAAGTTTCCTTCGATCGTTTGTAAACTGCTGATGCAGTCCGGCCAAAGTCCCCCGAAAAGTGTTGATGCGCATTTGATCATATCCACATTTTAATTTGCGCAATACAAATATTAAATTATTATTATTAAATCATTATGTTATTCTCCACACTATCTGCCCTACAACTACTTAATATAGTTTTGGTTCTGAGAATTAAATGTTGAATCACATGAC